TGGCGTAGCAAAGTGTAAGTCATGATGTGATTCATATGAGTGGAAAAAACCACCCACAGGACATTAGGTAGTGTAAGAAACAACAAAAGGTCACCGGGACTGTTTTCATTTGTGCTCGTCCATCCTCAGCATTACTTACCCTTTCCATGGGATTCAAGTCTTGCATGAAAAAACTAACTTTTCCCTTTGTCCTTTGTGTGAGTTTAATGACCTTATTTATGACTACAAGGGAGGAAATGTTCTATGGGGCACCTGAAGAAAACCAACAGAGGATAAAATAATAAAACAGGATATAGGAAATACACTCCTGAAGAAATCCTGGTGTCAGTGAGCAAGGAACCGGTCAACCATTAAAAGACTATTTGTGATGTCCCACTGTTTGAGAGAACACATCTGAAACGGTGAGAAATGAACCGCCTGGCTGTGATTTCAGGTCCTTTCATAGGGAAAAGCCCTCTTTCATTGTGTTTCTCCAAAAGGCACTTCATTATTTGTAATCATTTGTTAAATGTGTGTGATTCAATGCAAGGAGAGGAGCTTTATACTGAAATGTTAAAAGTTTTTTTTACAAGTTTTAGAGTGTTTCCTGGTACATTTTGAACCAATGCTTGTTAAATATTATAATCATAGTATTTTTGTTTCCCCCAACGTTTGAGGACAATAAAGATACTTATTGTAAGACTGTTATGGTTTCTTCACCAGAGATACAACCTACTTGAAAGGCACAAGAATGCAAATGATGTTACATTCATATGCTGGACACAAGTCGCTCTGTCTTCATTCGAATGTCAATTATTTACAACTAATTTACATATTGGACCATGATCGACTTTCAAGGTTGTTGTGAAATCCCCAAAAATATGCATTTACATGGCCCTTTTATGCTCTTTGGGGTTTTCCCTTTCCTTTAGTGTGTTATTTAGGTTTTGTGCATGTAAATGGTCTACAAAGTCTATATATATATTGACTAGCAGTCCAACACATTCTTATTAATAGGCTAAGGGACGGGACATGTTCAAGCGGTTGACCAATCACAAAAGAGCCGGCCAGCTAACCCATCAGAGCAGACTGGGCTTTAAGGGAAAATAAGCAAAGAAAACAAGTGAAGGGCGGCATTAAGTTATTTTATTTTATCTCAAGATTAAGCTAATTCAATGTAAAATCTAGTTAGTTGACTGCATTCTCATACAAAAACTCTGATAAGTAAAGCAGGCTCTTTTCATAAAAATGTGGCTTGTTCGAACCGTAGTTCTAATTTTCACACTGATGTGAAACAGCTCATCATTCCCAAGTTTGGCCTGTGCCTTTCATCTTTTACTGAGTCCTAAAAAACACATGTTCAATTCACAATTCCTCAGCAAGTGTTGAGGCTGTTATTGTTTGCCCACTGCAAGGTCATCGTAAAGCTCGGCAAATGACATATGTGAGAAAAACATGACATCCGTCCATCTCGCAGAGTTCTCTTTTGTAAACTCCAGAGGGAATGAGAGAAAGGTCAGGATATAGAACATACTCAATAGTAAATGTTTGGGGTCCATCAGTGACCAATATATATTCAGTATTGTCTGATAGGTCACGTCAGGTCAAGGATGCGATATATGGAATGGATTCTGTGCTCACTGCAACAGTTATTGTTGACATTGACCATTACAAAATCCCCACAATTCACCTCAGCAGCAATTATCACTTTAACAGAAGATGCAGGAAACTCTAAAAGGCTCTTTATGGGTTATTGCCTTCACAGAAAAGGTACAAAGCAGCAAGATGGATTTTCCACTCGTCTTTCCTGTGAGTCATATGAACAGCTATTTTGATTTTCGATTAATGTATCTTATATATCACTCACTATTTTTAAAGATTTACTATGATATAATGGTTTTTTTCCAAAATGTTTATGCCATGTGGATGATATACTACTCCGGTTCCCACAACTGCAGTTTTACAGCTGCACACAGTTTGGGTTGTTTAGATTGAACGCAGCGTATTCAAGCGTAGTTTCTTATTGGGGCAATAAAGCGTCTAGACAGCACTCCCCTCTTTTTCACCTTCAGCCCACTCTCTTAAGAGGGCATTTGTTGATCTGAATATATTGGCTTGTCTTTGTCTCACACTTATCAGCTGTGGCATTATATAACAGAGCCTTTGCCTAGACCTTTTTACCACCCTTTTATTTATTTTTTTATTGCTTTTAATTAATTCTACCGTGTTTTGTAATGTCTATTTATACTGTTCATGCTCACTGCTTGTAGCACTTCGGGATTTGAAATCAAATATGAGGTGCTTTATAAATGGAACCCATTATTATTATTATTATGTAGAGGAGTTTAACACTGAAATTGAATGATAAAAGGTCAATATCATGCATGATAAGAGTTACTTATTACATTTCAAATCAAGCAATTACTGTTGCTCACCTAAACTCCAAGAGTTAAATTGTACGTTACAACTGTTTACAATTGTCATTCTTGGATACTGTTTGTATCTTTTGCTTGTTTATAGTCTTGTCCTTAAATGTTTAATGTAATGTTTTGTCCTTGAAATTAATATTTTAAGTAAAGAAATTAAGTAAAAACTGATGACTTCATTATTAATCTTCATTTTGTGTTGTGATCAATGTTCTCATTTATTTTATATACTTTGTTTGGTCTTATGTGACATCTTTACTTGTGTTACAGTGTTACAGTGTTAGTGTTACAGTGTTAATATGTGTTACAGTGTTACAGTGTTAATATGTGTTACAGTGTTAATATGTGTTACAGTGTTAATATGTGTTACAGTGTTAATATGTGTTACAGTGTTACAGTCTTAATATGTGTTACAGTGTTACAGTGTTAATATGTGTTACAGTGTTAATATGTGTTACAGTGTTAATATGTGTTACAGTGTTACAGTGTTGAATATGTGTTACAGTGTTAGTGTTAATATGTGTTACAGTGTTACAGTGTTAATATGTGTTACAATGTTACAGTGTTAATATGTGTTACAGTGTTACAGTGTTAATATGTGTTACAGTGTTAATATGTGTTACAGTGTTAATATGTGCACCATTATATGCAATTAGCTTGTACAGGAAAACTCAGAAACAAACATGATTCTGATATTTCAGATCAAATTAATGAATATATCTAAAAGTATTTTCCCTTTTTATTTGTATCTTCTACATTGTATTTCCAAATCATTTACATGTCAAAAAAGCCCTTTCAAACTGCCTTGTGTATGAATTGTGCCTTATTTGCATGGCTTAATACTTGTTTTTGCATTATTGTGAACGTAAATATTTCAATTTGTTTATGCTGTGTCCTTGACTTTGTCTTATTTTTTTATGCCCTTTACACTCTTCTTTCTGCACAAATGTGTGATGTTTATTTTGCACTGTTTACTCTCTGAAAGCCAGGAGCAGTTTATGATATCATTCTTGTTTATATCTCAGCCCCATTGAGGATTTGTCTCCTTTCTTTCTTCTACTCCTCATGAATACTAAATGTGTATCCATAATGCATTTTCCCACACTGCTATGATCTCAGATGACCTCTCGGTGTGCGTTCAGCAGCGTTTCAACACAGATTGGTATGTCGTCTCTGTCACATTCCAAAAATAAATGACTAAAGTAATCTGAGAATGAAGTAAAAGTAGGTTATATGTCCTGTACCAGCATACTTCATATCCTCATGCTCTGAACATCCATAAGATTAAAGTATTGGTCTGGGATTGTTTTGTAAAGCCAGATCAACGTACATTCTGTGTTATCATCGCACATGTCGGGATCTTTACCCTCAGGTTTGAAGAGGAATCACTGTGAGATTTTAGTTTTAGAAGATGTGGTTTATTGATTGTGAGATTTTAGTTTTAGAAGATGTTAGGTTGGTTTATTGATTAGCTGATCATCTATTCAGTTGTTTGATCATACCTAACTATACCTCTTCTGGTATTATGATTAAAGTTTTCCCCTTGTAGAAATGATCTTCAATTACGTGTGGTGAACTTTCCGGAATGTTTGAATGTTGAAACAGCATATTCAGCATATGCCCTACTCCATGACATCTCTTTTACATTTTTGACACTCTACATTAGCCACAAAAGATACGAAAATTGCGGTCACATGTCATTTTTCCTGACATAGAAGTATGATTTAGAGCATTAGAGATCAGCATTTTGAAAAGATATGTGACAAACAGCCTCATAAATAGGAAATTGTATGATTTTAATGTTAAAAATGCACATAACCACCAATGAAATGGCTTAAGATCGTTTGCATTAACCTGAATAATAGCCAAAGGATACATTCTGTGGCTGCGGCACAAGTTACTTTGCATAGTTGTAAATTACAACCTTGTTTAACCTAAGCAACCTCCATGAACCAATAATGCACCTTATGTCATATTCCTATCATAGTTGGAGTACATCATAAATACATGTCAGCCTAAAAGAAGTTGTGCAAACAGAGTTGATGTGTATGTAACCTCTATTGCTGTACATTAATCTAACTTTGCTCTAACCTTTTGACTTTATTTGGAAATCTGTAACTGCTCCAAGGATTATTATAAGAGTATATTGTCATACCATATACAGAAGGATGATCAGATTAATATAACGTGCCTTGACTGTACCAAAACTGCAACACAGATCATAAAGGTTCCTTCCACTATATGATATATATTTTTTAAATTGTGTATGTTTTAATTAGGTTTGAAGTCTTGTTTAATTTTTGATTGTATTTTTTACATTGTTTTTTTACTTTTCGACTGTGGACCAATCACCAAGACAAATCCTTGTATGTGCAAACCTACATGGCAATAAAACCCTGTTATGCTGTAGGAGCATCAAGGTAAATTGTGGGCATGAACAGAAAAACACTACACACATTGTATGTATGAATTTGGGAAATAACTTTTTTTTAAACAGTAGCCTATACGCATGTACATTACGCATCTGGTGATGTACTTTTAATATGTCAGTGTTTTGGGTCAAATGTGCCACAGGTTGAAAGCAGACTACCAGTTTAAGATCATGTTGTTTGACTGATCTTTATGTCGCTTGAGTTTGTCGGTGACAATATTTTTTTTTTTCGGGAACAAGGGAGAGAGCGATGAGTTGGGTGTTATTAACCCTGCCTCCATCCCCAGCCCGGCCACTCGCAGAGCTCCTCCCGCCCCCTCCCGGCTCCGCGCTCCGCTCATCAATAGGGAGCACATTTGAATAATGTGTGAGCACTTGGACTGGAGCCAATCAGCTGTCAGAGGACCGTGATGAATCGCAATGCATTATTGATAATAATAATTACGTTGACATGCGCATTTCTACTTGAGGGGGACTAATTTGCCAAGCAGAAGAAATTTGTAGAAGAAGGAGAGGAAATATTGTTGGCAACTCTTTGCTCCTGATGGTTGCATCATGTCGAGGCGCAAGCAAGCCAAACCGCAGCACATCAACTCCGACGAGCCCGGTGCGTTAGAGAATGGTAAGTTTACGCACAACATATTTGTTTGTTTCCCGAAAAACGTAACATACAGCTTCGCCATGCCATGTTGCAAAACTATCGACATTTTATCTCAAAAGTTGGGGGCTGCATTTCACATCGTTCCACTCGCACTTTGACCTGTTGCTGTCTGTTTGAATTGACCAGAAATAAGAACTGAGCCTCAGTCACTGGACCAAAATCTGAAATCATTTTTAACACGATACAGGTGTTCCGCGAGGAGGGTTTTAAACGACTACACTGTAATTTGTTTTACTTTGTTCACAGAAAGACGATACATTGATACATTTTGTAACTTTTTCAGTTTGATTAATGTTCAACTATTTTACAATTTCTTCCTAAACCGATATCGTTTGAGCAGTAGTTTCGAAGGCAAACATTGAAATTATTTTTGAACTTATTTGGCTTAATTAAAGCCTCTTTTGCTGCCTGTTGATTTATTGATATATTGAACATTTACTCGAGTAGTTGTGTGGCTAAGAATGAATGTCTACGATGGTCTGGGTGTATTTTATGTGTAGGCCTATCATTTTACTTTCATATAATTCTGATATTCTACATTTTGTCAATGAAACGTCGCTTTTATTTGGTGGCAAATATTAGTGCGTATGCCTTCAACGCTCTTTGACTGAATTTAAAGTGGTTTTGTTGAAATTGTTTGTATTGTAAATTATATTTCAACTTCGCCGAGTACGTTGCTGAATCTAATGTAACTACATTGATCATTCATGTTTTGGTGGAATTTGTTTGCAAGCGTTCGTCGATATTGAGGGTTTTAAAGAAAGCTTCCCAAAAAGAACTGTATGAAATGTGACTCTGGAGTAAGCTGACCTAAAGGCAATAAATCCCCCAGTTTAATGCATGACTGTTTCCTTTCGTACGTATGTGGAGAGGTGGGGGATGGAGCAGTGGCCTTTTTGTGGAGACTGGGTGGGGGTGCGTTTTGGTGTTGCCATATGCAAGCTCCCGTAGCTGCTGGCGCAAGTTAGACCTCACCTTATAATTAGGAAAGTTTGCTAACACTGCGTAGGACAGCTACTGAGCTTTGTGATGTGTACCTACATTTCAGGAAAAAAGCGTTTTTGATGAAATATTTCATATTTTGTGAACCACTTAGGTCCATGCATTGAATGGTTAGTCTGACCTCGTGTCATGTACCCCACCATAGGTGATCAGATGCAGGTCATGCGCCGTCAAGTGGTAAACTAGAGCGTTGCCTCCTAATTTTTACTTCATAATCGACAAATTGGGACTTTTGGGGGATCAATAGTTGTTAAATATTATCTCTATTTACAAATTCAACTCTGTCGAAGTTAATTACATTATGATAAGAGCGACTGTATTGGTGCGTAAATGGGTGGCTGAGTCCTTCGTACTGTTTCCTCAAAGCTCAGAGTGTAATGCCGTTTGCAACTTTTCTTTTTGCTACTCTGCTTCAATGCCTCCTGGTGAGCAATTAACAAGTCTCCGAGTTTCCTCGGGCAAATGCAAACAGGTGGTCTACCCCCTTTCTTTGAGGCATTAGCATTTAACAATACACCCAGTTGTGAAATGGCCTCTTGGTTAGCAGACAAATTAAAATGCTCACTTGGAGCACTTATCAGGCTGTGAAACTGCTTCATGCTAATCAACATAGAATTACCATTTTTTTTAAAAACCCATGTTTGCATACTAAATGTAAACTTGTTTTTCCTTTCTACTCTTTGTTACAAACAAGAACTTAAAATTCAGTTTATAGATTATCATGAATTATTGCAGAAACTAGATTTACATTTCTCTGCGTGTTATAGGAGTTACACGTTTTGTCCCACACTGGCAACTGATCTGATTTTGAGCAAAGTACCTTGGTGGAGTATTTCAGAAACACAGTAATGTAATGCCAGTGGCTCTTTAAGTCTTCCTGGACATTGTTTAGGGTAATGTCAAAGGTAGAGGGTTGCCCTCTGCTGGCCCTGCAGGCAAATTCAAAGACTTTAACAACCCAATGCAATGACAAAAGAAAGGGAACATCATACAATACAAATGAATAAAGTTTACCACTGAATTGAATTATCTATGTGTCACAATGGCAACAATAATTTATAAAAAAAATGCTTTAGAGAATTTCTTGTTCTTACCACAATTAGATTTTTCTTGGTGATTACCAATGGGAATATTTTTACAATACTTGTTATACTAATTGTATTGGTCAGATATTGTCATTACTGTATTCAAAGCATATTATTAAATCCTTGTACCCTCTTTTTTTTTCTCAAGGAATTCCTCCTGATGATCAAGTTGAGGAGATTGGAAATGAAGGGAAAAGGATCAGAATGGACGACACCAGGGTCTGCAAAAAGTGTTGTGCCGAATTCTTCGATGAAGAAGAATATATTGAGCATGAGAAAAAATGCACAAAAAAACCGCAAGGGCTCATCCTGAAAAATGGAGATGGCAATGGAGTGCCTGAGGGATATTTACAAGGCTCCCCCGACGACCTTATGAGTGACCAGGACGACAGCCAGTCCAGCAGCCAATCCCCATTAAATGCCAATCCAGACCAGCTGCAAAGAACAGAGGACGAGTCCAACATGAACGCAGAGGACTCGGGACAGCATGATCAGACGGGGATGCCTACTAGCCCTGAGATGAATTATCATCACTCGCTCAAAATGCAAGATACAAATGTCACTCTTGAAACCATGGCAGACACCAAAGTGGCGGTCTCCCAACATTATTCCAATAATACAGCTCTGATCTCATCACAGGAAGCCATACAAGCCATCCCGATGATCTTGGAACAGTTAGTTTGCCTTCAGCAACAGCAGCTACAGCAAATCCAGATCACAGAACAGATTAGAATCCAAGTATCCATGATGACTCCAAACTGTCTGCAGTCATCGGTAGGGGCAGTAATGGACCCTCTGAAAGCCCTTGGCGCACATCTCTCTCAGCAGTTGTCAGCTGCAGCTGCTCTGATAGGAAAAAGGACAGGCAGTCAAAGCCTTTCTATGGAGGCAATGAAGCTAGGTAAATTAACTCTGCCAGTTGGCATCCATCCCTGTCTACCTGAAGCAGTGGAATCTTTTACTTCTAAAACTGACCTTTTGAAAGCAATCCCAGATCTGGCTAGCCGTTTACCAGGACAACTTCCACAGTCACCAGTTGTCATGGGTTTCACTAACGGCTCCAACGGTATCCAAGCCGACATTGAGTCCTCTAAAAAAATGAAGCCGGCGATGCCGATTGTCCCTCCAGAACCAAAGAATGGCGACTCGGCATACAGGCACAAGTGTAAGTACTGCGGAAAGTCATTTGGCAATGACAGTGCTCTCCAGATTCACTTGCGTTCTCACACCGGCGAGAGGCCTTTCAAGTGTAATATTTGCGGCAACCGCTTCACAACCAAAGGAAACCTCAAAGTGCATTTCCAGAGGCATAGAGACAAGTATCCTAACATCGGCATGAACCCACATCCTGTGCCCGAGCACCTTGACAACATCCCCACCACCAGTGGCATTCCCTATGGCATGTCTATGCCCATGGACGAGTCAAATATGACCGACATTAAGCCTATGTTGCCTCAGCCAGCTGCTGGCTTCCAACAGTCACCTGTACCATCATTGAAGACATTTGACAGCTACGCAGGGGACCCATTTCCCCAGAGACCTTCCCCATCAACAAGCGACATCTCCCCAACCATTTCCTCTCATGTGTTCGGACAAGAAACAGCAGTGGATCTGCATCAGAAGGATACTAAAGAACTGATGGGCGCCCTGCATCATATGAACAGTAATTCCCTTATAGGTGAACAAAGCTCTGGAACTGCAAAACTTCAGCAGATGGTGGATGGCCTGGAGAAGAGGACCAACGACCCCAACGAGTGTGTCATCTGCCATAGAGTCCTCAGTTGCCAGAGCTCGCTCAAAATGCATTACCGCACACACACCGGCGAGAGACCCTACAAGTGCAAAATCTGTGGACGCGCATTCTCCACCAAGGGTAACCTTAAAGCCCATTACGGAGTGCACAGGGCTAACTCTCCTCTTAAAATGCAGCACTCGTGTCCCATCTGCCAGAAGAAGTTCACAAATGCTGTGGTTCTGCAGCAGCACATCCGCATGCACATGGGTGGGCAGATCCCTAACACCCCTATGCCAGAAACCCCGTTTGAAGCAGCAGAAGCCATGGAATTATCTCTGTCGGAGGAGAACTCTACAGATATCCTTGGTTTTGAAGCAAGCTTGGAAGATCCCGAGCCAGAGCTGAACTCCCAGAAACCAGACGACACCTCAGATTCCCTCCCGCCCGCCTCTGAGGAACCACCACAGAATCAGACTCCCCCCATCCTGTTTTCGAGCCTTGAAGTTTTAAAGAGTCTGACCTCGGCTCTTGAATTGAAACGACAGAGCAGCACCGCTTCGGAGAGTGAGGGACCATCCCTACCTCCTCCCAGAGAGCAGGAGTATCAGAACGGCCGCAGCCCTGCCATTTCTGACCATTCGGCCATGTCCTATCACTCATCTTCCCCACTAAACAACAACACAAATTGTAGCAAATCTCCTGAGGCTCCCAGTAATGAATTTGCCCACAGTTCTTCTAGACCAGAGGGTGATGGCGGTGCTCAAGGTGGCACTGAGTCAAGTGGAGCTCTTGACCTCACATCTTCCAGCAGCTTCACCCCCAAAGCAATCAAAGAGGAACCTGGCATGCCATACACAAATGGAGACTATGGTGAGTTTATTAGAAAACCATTTTAATCAAAGTATTTTAGAGGTTGTCATGTTGGATGGTTAGATCTAATATTTCACCCTTTTTTTTTTTTTTTAAGTATCTGGCAACATGTTCATGAGGATGCCATCAAGTCTGGATAGTCTGGAGATGAAGCTTTCTTCAGAGAATCCGTTGGGCCCTCACGGTTTGTTCAGCTCCCATATGCCTCAGGGAACCGCCATGCCCTCGTCCATCTCCAGCGCACCTCGACGATCATCCAAACAACACATTTGTCATGTCTGCTGCAAGAACTTCTCATCTGCCAGCGCCTTGCAGATCCACGAGCGCACTCATACAGGGGAGAAGCCATTTGCCTGCAATATCTGTGGCAGGGCTTTCACCACCAAGGGAAACTTAAAGGTAAGTCATAATGGTCTGACAAAGGGCTGAGTATTTTGAAGTTATCGAGCATTGTGATGGGATTAATATGAACTATGTCTTGTCTCTAGGTACACATCGGCACTCACATGTGGAACAACACGTCGCGGCGTGGCCAGCGCCTGTCTCTGGATAATCCCATGGCGCTGATGGCAATGAGCTCCGAGGCAAAGATGATTCCAGAAATGATGCAGGCCCCCAAAGACCTGGGTCCTCCACCAATGAACTTTGAACAGTCTCTGTGGAACCAGTATGCTGCTGCCTTCAGTGGAGGCCTGGCCATGAAGACCAACGAGATCTCTGTCATCCAAGGGGGTGGCATCCCCCTTCCAGGGAGCCCTGCTGGTGGGCCTCTGATTGGCTCCACTGGGGGCCTCATGAAGATGGATGGATCCCACTCGGGCTTGCCTGGCTCAATGGCCGAAATGGAGAAGAACGGCTCCAGCAGCGTGCCAAAATTGCAGTTCCAACATTTCATGGAGGAGGGTAAAATTGCAGTTAACTAGGCTTTTTTCTTAGCCTTTACTCAATTTACCAAATGAACTCAGTTTTTGAATGTCTCCCTTTTTTGAATGAGGTACAATCAATATTCAGTGAGAATCTGCTAGATAGGTTGAATGTTTCCTGTAATTTCATTGCAGCGGTCTCTCTCCTCATCTGAATGATTCTCAAGTGTTTTTTGTTTTTTTTGTTGGAATTGATATAACTACTGTAGTTGTATTTTATTTGATATAAATATATATGCGGGTATTTTTCCTGTGACTTTTGTTTTGCTGTCTATCCAGAAGTTTGAATGTACAACTTACTTGAAACTGCTTTAATTCAGACTGTCTCCTTGATACTTTGTGAAGGATTTTGACTTTAATAGGAAGTTTCAGGGCATGAATTTTTAAAGGAAACCGTGTATCACTGTTCAGAAATATTGGTGTAGTTAACCGTATATATCTAGAATGACTACTTTAACTCATTGTGTGCCAAAGGTTTTATGACATTGTTCATTTTTGTAGTGGTAAATGTCATTAGCTGGTCTCATTTTGAAAGGGCTTTTGATCAGACTGACTTATTCCAGTGTCTTGTCCATTAAATCAAGGTGCAACAGTTCACTCATCTATTTTGGATCTCATTTAATACAAAATAGGCTTTCATTATTGTTGTCAGTGCTAAGATAGGTAATGATTTCAAGCTTTTGTCAAGTGCCTATACTTGTTTATTGTTGCTGTGTCTTTGACTGAACAATAAGGTTGTAATTGAGGCTCATACTGATACATTTATGTGTTGCACCGTTTAATAATATAGCATTGTATTTCATATTTTCATCAACAAAAGTAACATATTCCACTTGTAAATCTGAAGATTCAAATTTAGTTGGCTGAGTTCTGAAGGCTTCTATATGGTCGATGTTCTCATGCCTGCACTTTATATCAGGTTTTAGTCACATTTACATTTTTATAGTTACATTTCACTGCTTTTATTGTGATGGCTAAGAGGGGAAAAGGCTAATCAACAATTTAGTTAACTTTTCCTTCCTGTCAATTTTGTGTGTTACAACCATTGAGTGTAATTGTCAGACTCATTTTTTTCGTATCAACTTGTAGCATCATTAATTTATTTATAATTCACAAAATGCTTGAGGTTAGGGGGTAAGTTCTACCTCGTTTAGATTTTAGTTGTCCTCCGTGCCCCCTTCTCTCAACGCAATGCGCTGTATGTTTTCTGATACATTCTCGAGTACATGATGAGATTTTCATTCTCAACCTGCTGAGTTGAACAGTAATGAATGTATCACTGGACACTTTACACAACTCAGAATGGTCAGAGTACTTTGTAGGCCCCTGCTGTACATTCCTTATCGATATGCATTTGCCAAGTTGTGCCTTTCTTTAGCAAACCATGTCAAAACTGCTTTCAGGTTGGTCTCTACAATTAAAGTGATGTTGAGCCAATTTGGCCTGTTTACAATGTAAATGTTTTTTGTTTTTCAAATGTTTCCTACACCTTAATATTTTCTGATTTTGAAAAATAAAATCAGGTTGACTTTTTCAATACTTTTGCTGTCTTCACTTCACCACTGGTGCTGTACCCAAACTTATTGAAGGACAAAATCTCTGACTGAACACAGCTGGCAGGGAGCCAATTTGATAGTGTAATTTTGTATTATCTCCCCCTTTGCCAACTGAAATGCCCGCAGTTTAAATAAAATAAAAATCCCTTATTTACATCAATTCACCTTCAGTTGACTCGGGTATTTCTTAGTATGCTCATGACCCACCAGTAGCCATTAATCCCTTCTCATTTTGCATTCTCAACGAACAACTATTTGCATCTACAACTGAAGCATACTTGCCTACTTGCCAATCATGTTCACAATTCATTAAGGTCAACTATACAGTGGCATATTTGACATGAAACAAATCTTTTGGTGCATTTAAACCAATTTACAGAGTAAGCAGCACTGCCTGCACTAGATATGACAACTTTACAATAAGTCATGTTCAGTTTTTGTTGTGTATGAAACCATTTGGTTTAATTCTGTCAAAGACATCAAAACCCCAAACATTCAAAGTAAAATAAGAACATACAATAACAGTTTTAAGCATGAATTTGATGCATGGCGAGAGATAGAAACACTAAGAGATAGTAGGCTACTGTCAAAAAAATCATAACAAGATGGCTCTTCCTCTTACTTGGTTGAATCTGAATTCAAAGCTGTATCACTACATTACTACATTTAGCTATATTGGCATAGGTCTTACACCTGTTTTAGAAGCATATGCTTGCTGCTAGTATTAGAAGGGGAATTCTGCATAACTAGTAGGCAACTAATACTTTAGGCACTTTATAAATATGTTTATGCTAATACTGGCACTCAAACTGAAGTAACATTTTAAATGCATGACCTGTAGGCTACTTTGCTACTTGACATTTCGGTATAAAAGAGTATCAGCTACTTCTACTAGGCAACTGGTAGAGGTTAGTCTAGAAAAATCCGAGTTACAAGTAACAAAAGCTGCTTAAATAAGGGTCCTGGACAAACAATATGAAAATGTATTGGAACATAAATATAGTAGCAGAAAATGGAACCTCAAAAGTATCATTAGGTGCAGTGGGATTACTTTGGTAGGCTAAGCCTGATGTCGACCACTGCTTAGTTATTTCCTAAAAATATGCCTTAGTCTATATGGAAGTATGATGACAGGTATTTGTATAAACACATTATCCCCTGTTGCTTCTGATGGTGCCTTTCCCTAGACATTATCAACAGCTAAACTATGAAATTGATGTTTATAGTGACTCAAATGAAACTCCTACGAAAAATGAAAATAAATAAATAAGCATTCAGCCCTTGAAACAAATATTAGAAACAAAAGTCAACTATATTTATGATCAAATAGAAGTATCAGTGAATCATGATGAGATACAGTGTGCTTGGTGTATTGTAAGCTAACAGACCCAGCATCAGTGCTAACCTGCTCACTGTCCCCACCGTCCCGTGTGAGTGACAGCCGGGGAGCCTCCGCCCAGAAACCGCTCCTGCCAGGCGGACTGACAACAGCCTCCACCCGCTAACCGGGAGCTGCAGGAATGACCGACAATATCCCCCTACAACCCGTGAGGCGGCCGAAAAGAAACGACAGTAAAAACAGAAATGGGTAAGGGTGTTATACGGCATAGAATATTAATATGGAGCCGTTTGTTGACGTATTTCGCTGGTCGGCTAACGTTAAATTGTTTACCGGAGCGCGAGACATTGTCTAAAACTAGCTTAGCAGTGGAGGTATTTGAAATATCAGTTAGGGGAAAACCAACGGCTAATATACAAATTCATGTTTTTGAGCATGTTCTGGCCGTTTATAGTAGCTCAGAAACTGCTAGCTTTAGCTCCAAGAGACATCCTTGTTCCGGGGTAGCAAGTGCATTTGACGCCCATGTCAATATGTGCCCGGTAGACTGAAACTGTCCTAGAGCAGATACTACGCTGAAATATAGGCCCTGATTTAAAACGATACCATGTTTTAAATTAACATGCTGGCTAAATGATGCCTTTTGTATGGTTATTTGTGATTTGCACATAAAGGGGCAGGCCTCTTGATGATGGAGAAAACACGCACAGGGCAGACACAGTGCTGAAATGCAGCCAATAATCTGACCAGGCTGTCATGGTGATGTCACCTCCTCTAATAATCACATAATACAAAGACAAAATGTCTGAAAATAAGCTGTTTATTATGCATAGATACTGGCCTGTAGCTAGCGGCTTTGTCTACAGTATGTTCTTGAGTTTGCAGTATAACTAGTCAAGCATGATGGCTATCATTGTGTCCAATTCACCTGTCCAACCTGACTGACATGGTGGTTAAACTCTCAGTTACCAGTTTATATACAATAGTCCTCCAACAGATCTCACCTTCACAAAGGTTGTAATGTGTGGCTTTCAGTTATTTTTCTTATCAATGGGCTATGCTAAACTATAGAAACATATCTCTTTATAATGCTCCACAAACTACACCTTAAATCATCGCAAAGGGGACTCAAAACCAGTTTTAACAAAAGCTGGGCATTATAATCTCCATGAAGGGAGCATTTATTCCAGGACTGTTGTATTAGACTGCATTTGCTGTAGCTAGATGTACCAAATAAAGCTGAAGTGTCCTATATATCAAGTAGAAGGGAGCTTTGAGAATGCAGACCTCAGCTGTTGCCAAATGACCTGTCTCGCAATGTTAATGAAAGGGGAAAATAATTTGTTTATCCGCAATGTGATTCGGATACTCCCCACTGTGTAATGAAGTGCTTCTTGGCCCTTGATACTCCCTTCCATCATGTTTCATGAAAATTGAGCAGATAGTTGTTCCATAAATCTGCTGAAAACAACAAACCAAACATTGAAAACACAAGATCTGCACTAAAGCTTGATAAGTTGTTTGATTAATTAGTAGGTTGACGAAAAATGTATTGGTTTTGACAATGAACAAATCGTATACAGCGAATGTTAAACAGTTTAGCAGACAAAACAAGATATTTACATTTGTTAAATTCCTTTCTAGGGAATTTGTACAAAATATTTTATAGAAGTAAAACAAGGTGTAGCACTTTTTTCCCTCTCCACCATGTTGGGCTTAGTTTTATACCATGTAAACAATTGATCAAGAAACTATTGGCAGAATACCCACAACAAAAGTGCGTTTTTCACAGCAGGAATGTTGACTCGTCATGGTGGGAACAGCACAGTTGTTGTTTATATAATTAACGATGGCGCATTTTTATTCAGCTGTCACAGTAAACTGTCAACTCAGCCATCGTTGATTTTATTATTTACACCTGTGTCCTTGCTTTCAGTGACATGTCAACATATCTTCTGTGTAAAAGGCCTGTCATTAGTCGCAGCCTCAATCTATTTGCAAGGAAGTGCGTGGTCTAAAAACAGCAACAGCTTGATCTTTTAATCAAGATTACAGAAATCAGAAGTTGCTTTACAATGATAAAATTGTACCACAAAGTAAATCATCTCTTGGACCTTATTGTATTTGATCCTATACCAAATACTACAAACTTGCATGCTGTGCATATATGCATCTTTAAATACAGTATCTATCATAACACTGAAATATCTCTTCATATGTGGACCTGATAAATGTGGTTTCTCACTTGATACAAGCTATACTGGAAATCCAGCAATTGCGTATTTAATTGGAGAGGAACTGGTTAGTGTCCACTGCAAGGTTATCACAACAATCTCTAAACAAATGATCTGTTTTGTGAGGCCTATTGTGTTTATAGGTGTGTATTATACTAAGAAAGTAGTTTGATTGTTAATCCCGAGGTCACTGGACTCTTAGTTTATTGATATGGAGTGTATGTTTGTGTAGAGCGGAGGGAGTGGCCACCCTTTTCCTGATTAAGTTCATATTTATCTTGTAAAGCATAATCTCTTCCGACTTCATGGTCATGGACCTTTAGCTAAGCCTTGTCTCTTCTTTAGTTTGAAGCTGAAATAAGCAACATATTAACTCAGAGATGTGACTGGAAATCCATTACATGACAGCTTCACACAAAACAACACAGGGTAATGAGTCACACTATAGATGTTCTTTCTAAAGTTAAGAATATTAAATGATTGGATGTTTCTCTGGAGATATTCCTTAATGTTTCTCCCACTCTTGCTCTCAGGTGCTGCCCGTGGTCGCGATGCTGTGGCATGGGCGACTTCCGTCCCCGCACCGTGTGGCTCGGCCACCCAGAAAAGAGGGAGCAGAGGTACCCGAGGAATGTCATTAACAACCAGAAGTACAACTTCTTCACCTTCCTGCCTGCGGTTAGTGTCAGTCAAAGGTCACCCCTCCACCCTCCCTCCTGTTCACCCCCAAAACCACCACCCACCTCTCCAGCGTGGCTCTTACTCATTGTCCCTTTTTGGTTACATTTCACCAAAAACACTATCATACACTATCTTAGGAACCATCATCTTGGCTGTCTTCTTGTACCAAAATATTAACCAGGGACAAAAACTGGACATTGTATTCATGACTTATTTTAAATGAGCATCAGAGAGTCAAATCATGGTGGATCTGATAGTTATTTTACGGATATAGATTCATAATTTAGTCTATAACTTAGTGAAAGAGGACCATTATAACCCAAGACTGTGTCTAGATATCAGAAATGGATTCCAACCATTAGATCAAACCCAAATACATTCAGGTTAAAATAATATAAAACACAAAAAAGCAGAAAAAGCTCACATTAAAGAGGTTGTAACTAGCAAATGTTTATCATTTTGGTGTAAAAAGTGACAAACAATAAATCAATTGTTGTTATCAGTGAGTTTATGTTAAGCTTTCTGTTAATTGACTAGTTGATACAGTGAATAATTGTCTTAGCTTAGATACATAAATATACATAAATATACATTCCTTCCTAATGTAGTCTTGTTTGCTAATTGTTAGTCTAACCCAAAATTTCGACATATTAGCATTCCTCCTTATGCTAGCACACATTTTTAACCTAACTTTGTGACTTATGCGAGAGGGCAGTTCCTGACAGATGCACTGCCATAAGTATGTATGTATGAATATACAGAATGTTAGCTTTTGCTTTCATGTTGTTTGTTAATTTTATCACACAGTCTCATTGAGAACAATTGTTTTTAACAAGAACAGCAAAAGTACAAATATTAGACATGGTGGGATGTCTTGGGTTCAGATGTACATCTAGATCACATTTGGCAAAACAAAAACATTTCCCATAGCACCAGATCACATCCTTAGAAGAATATGGAAGATGCATAATGTTATTTGGTTGGAGGTTTTTCTTTCTAAGCGTTGTGATTTTGACCCTCGCATTTCCCCGGCTTGATTTACATATGAATTTGTTTTTCAGACATTCAGTTGTCTTAAGATCTTATGACCTTTTTCGTGTTTATGAAGTCAGACATTGAAGGTAGCTCACATTTGCAAAGCCTTTTTGCATTGCAAATTGTGATGCTTTTTATTTTCCTTGGTCATGCCAAGAACATCTTCTCACTGGAACATATTGAAGTCGTTATGTTTGTGTTTTCATTGCTTCTACTCTCCACTTTCGTCGTTTTGGAAATGACGTACAGAAGTAATGTGAACACATACAGTTTCCTTTGGTAGTAATCCTGCACACATTCAATTGGGCAAAGTGTTCATTTTAAGAAGGACACTAATGAAAGTGTGTGTGCATAGTGTCACATAGACATAGATTGTTCATAAGGACAAAGAGTAGGAATACACTGTAAACAATTTTGGATTCATTTTTTAAATTTTTTATAAATTGATGGCTGTTATTTTCCAAAAAACGTTTCTTGATGAATGTATCAGGACTCATGGGATTCTCAAAAAAAACTAACCCTAACCCTTTTTTTTCTAAAAACGAAACTGGTTTTAAATGTAATCCTGCATTAATAAACTCTAAAATCTAACTTGTAGGTTGTAGGAACCCTGTTTTTCCAGCAAATGTATAGTTGAAGCGGAATTCTGAACAAATATTGAACTCTCTGCTTCTCTGTTTTATTTCCACAGGTGCTGTTTAATCAGTTCAAGTACTTCTTCAACTTGTACTTTTTGCTCCTGGCCTGCTCTCAGTTTATCAACGAGCTACGACTAGGAGCGCTCTACACCTACTGGGTCCCTCTGGTGTGTGACATTTCACTGACTGATAATTATCACCCTCTATCAACTCATTTGACTTTATCAGTGTTTAGAAGTTATTCTGATAGTATTTAGTTTTGATGGAAATAATGTAACGGTAGCCACAGCACTAGCATGTATGAAGTTGATTTGTTGTTCTATATTTAGGAGAAATAACTATTTAATTTGGACATGTTTCACTCTTCAGGGTCTGGTTTTGGCTATTACCATCATGAGAGAGGCAGTTGAAGAAATAAGATGCTACCTTCGAGACAAAGAAGTGAACTCTCAGATTTACAGCAAGCTTTCAACAAGAGGTACGGATTGAAACAACATTCACAATATTCATCTGGCTGCTACTTATTTATCTATTTACCTAATATATCATATTTCAATGACTTGCATATCGACTCTTATTGCACTATTTCACTTTTTTAAACTATTTTTCTTCTTGTATTTACTATTTACTTGCACTATATTTGTCTGTTTATCTGTGTTTTGTGTGTTGGAGAAGCCTGTGACACAAGATTTTCATCGACATAACTACACTGTAGCTATGTTCGTTTGACAAATAAAGAACCTTGAACCTTGGATCAGAAACTCAAAGGAAAACAGTGAATATGTTTCGGTTGTGTTGATGAACCATGTTGCTTATTCCTCAGCATCAGCGTCTATTAACTGTACGAGGTTGATCCTGTTCAAACTTATTGGGGCTAGGGGAAATGGTGGGGTAATTCAAAGCAGAGATGTAAAAGTGTACATAAGAGGCCTCGGTATAAAGTGCTACCAGCAATAAAAAGCAGGGGACCTCTTGTGGTTTCCATCACTTTGTCCCTTTGATGTGGCAGCTTGTTTTACCCATAAACACGACTACTGCTTGCCTCCATGATAGCGGCCCCCGAGAATATCTCGCGGTTTATAGAAAGTTTATGGTGTCAGGACTTGGTGTGTTGTTTTCTAGCATAGGAAGAATGTGCTTGAGTTGTCTTATTATTAATTAAATTGTTTTTTTTAAATATATAAAATGAATTCACATGACTTAAACAGATTTATTCTTTTTTTTTGTGTTGAAAAAACGCTTGAAGAAGCAAAGATAATCCATTTTCTGAGAAAAAAAAACCTATACATATTCACATGTATGTAGATTGAGCTTGTGAATGTATCAAAACTGAATGAAAAATGTAAATAGATTCATCAATAATGGACATTGTTGCAGGCTAATCTTCGTTTGATCAACACATCAGTTAAATAGATAGTAATGTCGCAGCTCTGATCACGTGTTAAGCGAAGCATGTGCGTGAGATAAATGTATAGATCAAAGCGTCATCTCTGACTTTAAAGTATATATTGCCACATTTAGTTTCTGAATGATAAGGCTGCTGTGAAAATGTGTAAAATGTTTTTTTTGTAATAGTGGAGCGAGGCACTCATTTGAAGTCCCGTGAAGCCCGGGCGCATAGCAATATTAATGTGCTTTAATGTCTTACATATGCAAAGCCCTGAGGTCACGACACAGGTCAGGGGTCAGTGATCTCTTCCAAACAATTTTGTCTGCTCTTTCCAAATGGAATGAGAGAAAAGGATCAACTCCCCCTGCATTCTTTCAAATCTGCACAGAAAATTACGTTCCCAAATTCACTGGGGTTACTGCCGAGGCATGCAGGACAACGGTTCACCGAGGAGAAGAAACTCATGTTCTTAAATCACATTTCATTAACCAAAAAACACAGGAGAGTGTTTTTCGATATGATCTTCGAGGATCAATCCTATAAATGCTCTCAAATCTATGTTCAATTATTTATAAGATGGTCCCATTCTTGATTGTTATATCTTTTTCATAAACACACTTTATTAACATGACATTTTGTTCTTTATTTCAGGCACAGTGAAGGTTAAAAGCAGCGGCATCCAGGTTGGAGATCTTATAATCGTGGAGAAGGTTTGTTAAAGATCGTTTCATCCACATCTGTGAACAGTTTTGCTTTTCCCAACTGTCCAGTTAGCAGTTATATGACAGCGAATAACGAGGGGGTTGTTAATGTTCTGTGCTCTGCTGGGGAGAGAGGTGAAAAGAGTTAGTAAAGATTTTGTAATCTTCTGATCAATGCTGACTCTCCGCCTGTCAAACTGAACCTAAAATACCTTTTTAATTAGATCCCAAACAAATTCGATTAAGTACTATTTATTGATATGTCTTTTTTTTTTTGACATCATGAAATCTGATAGTGTAGTTTATTTTAAGATATCTAATTTAGTGTGTGTTTTCTGAGGGAATCTGTTGTGTCGCAGAGTAAATTCTCTAAGGTCTTTGTACATGAAACATGAGAAGTGAGACCTGTTTCCAAACGGCAGGCTTCTTTCTGAATCACTCATTTCAAAGCAGCTGAAGGAAAGGTCACACGTGTTGTCCTAGACGTTTCTCTAATATGACTGAGTGATGCAGAGTTATGTTAGGACTCAGAAGCAGCAATGGCTAAACCAAAAATAGCTGTCATATTTTTGACTTTATTCTTCACCACTGATCAATAATCCATGCACGGTTCAGTTTTTGGGAAGCTGTCCAGATGAGTGGATGCAGAATGTGTTTTGTGTCGTGGACGGAGCGGGTCAGGCAGAGTGTAAAAAACCTGGTAAGGGTCCTGCTCGGGCCACGACAGGATGATTTGCCGCAGGGCTTATTATTTTGACTGACTGGCTGCCGGTAATGTGGCACATGAAAAGCTAAACGTCTCTACAGAAAAGTGCAGGATCAGGAAGTGATGTTAAAGTGATGTTTTTCTTTCTGCTTTTCTTTTTGTAGAACCAGCGAGTTCCTGCTGACATGATCTTTTTAAGGACCTCGGAAAGAAATGGTAAACATCTGCTGGTCATTCATCCAGATCACCACAACGGGCTGGATGGCTGGCTGGCCGGGGGAAATGACTTGTTTAAAAGAAAAGGCGCTGAGGTGCAGGGATTAGCCCTGAGCCAGCACAGGAAGTCCTACAATGTCTAAATTGTAATTGAGTCCAGTACTAAACTATCACTCAAAGTGCAGCGTAGTGGAGAGTGGGTCATGTAGACAAAACATGGCTCCCTCCTCATCTTCGCTAACCCGTTTTGTCTTTCAAATGAGAAGATCGTGAAAAGGAAGATGGAAGGACACACAGATATCAAATGCAAAGAGAAAACAGCAGGCTTAATCTGAATAATCAAATAAGGATTAAGACAAGATTTGTGATGACACGAAGATGGGGAATTGCATTGCACTTATTTATTTGCACATATACAAAATACATTACAATTGAATTCAAAGTACCTCCAAGGAACAGCACATCAAACATCACATCACAGGGGCATGTTGAGGTAAATCGAGACGCATGTTGTTGTTGTTGTTGTTGCCACTTCCTGTTGGAGGAAGGAAAACAACAGCTTTGTTTTACTGGAAATGTGCAGCTTGGTTATCTCTCTTCCATGTGGAGGCCATTAGGTCAATTATGAAGAGCCTAGGCCAGGATTGGGAGTTTTGGGCAGGATGACGCACGTAAGCCGGTGTGTGGGGGGATGGGATCCACTTCTATCCCAGAAGTGATATGCAGCTGTGTCCCATTCACAGGAGTTGCTGCTGTTCATTTGTGCTAAATTATTTTATTGCCCTTTCGGTTGTTAACTTGAAACGTCAGAACAAACTCAGAAAGCAGCAACAGTCGACAGAAGCTTTCAGTATCTGTTGAAATGTAAAAATAGTGACTTGCACGTCCTAGAATAGAGTGGGATGTCCTCTCTTCGGGCAAGGCATGGCATGTTTATTTATACAGCGCATTGCAACACAAGGCAATTCAGAGTGCTTAACAAAAAACATTTGGATGAAGTGCAACATAAACACATTAGAAAATGTCATAGAAAAGCCAAGAGAATAGCAATTAAACAAACTAAGGTATAAATTACAAGAATAAGTTACAGTGCAGTGTAAGATATGAATAGTTATTTGATTTATAAGGCAGTGAGAAGTCATTGGCAAAATAAAAGTCTTCAGTCTTAATTGAAATAAGTTAGAATTGCAGATTTCTGAGAGTTTTGTTCCAGATATATGGAGTTTAATAACTAAACGCTGCTTTTCCATGTTTAGTTTTGACTCCGCAGACAGAAAGCAGACCCTTACCAGACGATCTAGCAATCTAGAGTATCAAGTATCAGAAGATAAGAAATGTATTTTGGGCCGAATACATCTAGTGCTTTATAAACCAATGATTATATTTTGGAGTTAATTATTTGACATACAGGGAACCAGTGAGCTCCAATCTTCAGTCATGGATCTCCCTTGTTGATTTTATTTAGTTCTCAAGATGCAGCTGTCTGGCACAAGACTTGCTAAGTTACAGTAGTTCAGTCTGATGAATAAGATAAATGCATGGACAAGTTTTTACCAAACCCTGCTGAGACACAAGTCTTTTAATCCTTCATTCAGGGTGTCCGCGGGGTCTTAAAAAGTATTAAAAGTTGATAAATCAATTTAGCGACAATTAAGGCTATTAAAAAGTATTAAACGGCATTTTCCAAGGTATTACATTTGGTAGCTTGTTTTCAATAAGTATATCAACTGTCCAAAGAGGTTGTATTCTACAGTGTGCCTGAATGTAATCATTGCGTAGGTGTGTAGTGTGATTCTGTGTAGTTTATTTATGGCGTCCCGTTGGATTTGACGTCATCTGAACAGGACATCGCACGCTCACTGCTTGATAGCGCGCTAAGGTCCGTTTACGCCGGTTGTTAAACAACATCGTTATGGGGAAATGCAAGTTTGCGTCCAAATGGTTGGAAGATAAGGAGGAAGGACAATCAATACTGTATATAGTAAATGTGAGGTAAAGTGTGTCGCCAATGTAACCGGTTAAAACTCCAAGTGGTGATGAGGTCTTAAAATGTATGGAAAGGGTCTTAAAAAAGGTCTTATTACATTTGACTTCAGGATTCCTGAATATACCCTGTCATTGTTTGTAAAGGTGATAGTAGTCTGACTTTAAATGGACCTATTGTATCTGATGAATGTCAGATGGATACAAGCTTATCTATTGTTGCCCCCTAGGGGTGAATGTGTTTCCTCCATGAGTCTTCAGCTCTCGTCTCTCCTCCCCAGGCTCCTGCTTCCTGCGCACTGACCAGCTGGACGGAGAGACGGACTGGAAACTACGCCTCCCAGTGGCCTGCACTCAGAGACTGCCCACTGCTGCTGTGAGTCATAAAATAGAGGAGAGGCTCAGGAGTAAATTATATGCTGTGTTTATGCCATTGCTGTGCTTTGTGTTTAGCAAAATAAGTGCTGATGAAGACGTGTAATTGCACTATGGTCTCAGAGAAGTGCGTCATTAGGACAGAGGAGTTATTTGACTGAGTGCAGGGTGGCCCGCTCATCACAGAGTGACTTAAAGTTCAAAGGTTAACCTCAGGCCCGTACTCTATGCTCCCCATGAGTGTTAAATCAGTTAGGGGTTTTAAATTAATTTTTATTTTATTTTAATATTCTATAGTCATGACAGTGGTCTCTATTTAACAGTTTCAATCAATATTAAACAAATAAGTGTTAACTGCTTACATTTCATTTGGCTTTAGTCTACAATTGGTATTCGGTTTGTTAGCAGTGAGCGACTTCATTTGTATTACTTACCAATTAATACAAATAAATAACAGCTGAAGGATTGTGACGTTTGACTATAGGCTTGACAAACTATTGTAACAGATCTTTTTACTATTATTACGAAACCTAATTAGTTTTGATGGACAGCAATACAGTTTATTTAGTATGTAGTAAAAGGCTTAACATGGCTGCTCTTATCAAGCTAACTCATTGGTCAAGAGCAGAATCAATTATTCAAGCGTCGAAAATTACAACTATTTTGATATTTTATTATTTGTAAATAAACGTGAATATCTTTGGCTTTTGGTATATTATTAGTAAGACACATTTTTTTTTTTTTTAAATGACCATGTGTTTGATGTTTACAGGACCTTCTACAAATCAGATCATATGTGTATGCAGAAGAGCCAAACATTGATATCCATAACTTTGTTGGAACTTTCACCAGGGTGAGTGCTAACACTACTATTCTGTTGAAGCCTTAGCCCCTTGTGTGCAACCATTTTACCCTTTTTATTTTCATGAATGAAGAAATCTGGCAGAACGTTTTACATACAGCATGCGAGTCCTACACTTTAATGAAACAGCTAGCAGAGTTATTTGTGATAATGTGAATTAATTGGATTCACTGTTTAGAAGTGTTGAGTGTTCGGCTTATAAGTTAGATATCCATGAGTCATGCAACCTTTTGGAAGATCAAAGATTGCCTTCTTCCTCCTTATCCTAATATTTGTTAGGTGACAGATATATTAGGCCAGCAATGTTAGCTACAGTACTTAGCTAGGGAACATTAGCTATTTCGATAGCGAATTGTAGCTATTTAGCTGGTTAACGTTATCTACCTATCTACCTATCTACCTATCTACCTATCTACCTATCTACCTATCTACCTACCTACCTACCTACCTACCTACCTACCTACCTACCTACCTACCTACCTACCTACCTACCTACCTACCTACCTACCTACCTACCTACCTACCTATCTACCTACCTATCTACCTACCTACCTACCTACCTATCTACCTATCTACCTACCTACCTACCTACCTACCTACCTACCTACCTACCTACCTACCTACCTACCTACCTACCTACCTACCTACCTACCTACCTACCTACCTATCTACCTATCTACCTATCTACCTATCTACCTATCTACCTATCTACCTATCTACCTATCTACCTATCTACCTATCTACCTATCTACCTATCTACCTATCTACCTATCTATCTATCTATCTATCTATCTATCAAATGTATGGCTCTCATAATTTCAAAACTAATGACTATTTAACACACTATGGTTAGACTTGCAGTGTGGACCTGTGTCTAACGTTCAGGCAGTGAGAATGGTTATAAAATCATAGTTTTCTTGTATAAAGCAGACGTGCAAAACTTCTTTAAAACAACCATAACAATTTGTCATCTCGACTGTTACAGGAAGACGGAGACCCTCCAGTCAACGAGAGTCTCAGCATTGAAAACACTCTGTGGGCCAGCACTGTTGTTGCCTCTGGTAAATAACTGACCTGGGGCGCTGCCCTTCTGTTAGGGGGGGGGGATTAAAACCCAGGAAGTAACCAGGACCCACTTTTGCCTTTAGGGCATAGGGGCTGACTGAAGCTATGACCTGTCTAACCAAAAACAGATCTTTGACAGCTCCCAATTGGCTCTGAACGATTTAAAAAAAATAAGTGTTTATTTTGACTGAGATTGCATTGTGTGCTATGAATCACAATATTGGAGAGATTCAACATTATTCTCATAATCATTGAAAGATATATTTTAAAAGACCATGGTGTGAGTTTTTTTAAAAGGAGCTGTTCCAAGCAATGATATCAAACTAAGTCCATAGGATACAATTTGTAAAATGGAATATCTACTCCGTGTGAGTGTTTTTAAATGTAATTTCATATCATTGCTTTTAAATTAGTGTTTTTAGATATCATTTTATAATATGTTTCTTAATGTCTTTCATTTTTGCAAAGCACTTTGAATTGCCTTGTGTTGAAATGTGCTATATAAATAAACTTGCCTTGCCTTGCCTTACGCAATACCACAATCCTTAATTTTAGAATAATTTGTACACATATTCTTGTAACAAATGTTGCGTCGGTAATCTCATCATTAATTATGAAGCCTAGCTTACCGTAATGGTAAAGAAAGTGTGTATCTATAGTAGGAGACATGAAGTGGCAAACATATCTAACGTCACTATAGGCTATATCAAATGTTATCCATTAAACAATTGTAAATCTGCATCCTATAATCCAAATGACATTCATCATTTAAACATATTCTTGTCAAGATTAGAAGTCTGGGAAACATCTTCTTGACGTTCTGTGTTTTATGTTGTACCTTCATTATATATATTGACCTGAGGCAGCTTTTTAAAGTCTCTTTCCTCTCCCTCTCTGCAGGCACGGTGGTGGGGGTGGTGATCTACACCGGCAGGGAGCTGCGCAGCGTCATGAACACCTCCAACCCCCGGCACAAGGTACAGTAGTGTGAAGCACAGCCTGAACAACAACATTAGATCACTTAGTTCAGGGTGTCCGCGGGGTCTTACAAAGTATTACAAGTTGATAAATCAATTTAGTGAAAATAAAGGCTATTAAAAAGTATTAAACGGCATTTTCCAAGGTATTACATTTTGTAGCTTGTTTTCAATAAGTATATAAATATTCCAAAGAGGTTGTATTCTACAGTCTGCCTGAATGTAATCATTGCGTAGGTGTGTAGTGTGATTCTGTGTAGTTTATTTATGGCATCCCGTTGGATTTTACGTCATCTGAACAGGACATCGCACGCTCACTGCTTGATAGCGCGCGAAGGCCCGTTTACGCCGGTTGTTAAACAACATCGTTATGGGGAAATGCAAGTTTGCGTCCAAATGGTTGGAAGATAAGGAGGAAGGACAATCAATACTGTATATAGTCAATGTGAGGTAAAGTGTGTCGCCAATGGAACCGGTTAAAACTCCAAGTGGCGATGAGGTCTTAAAATGTATGGAAAGGGTCTTAAAAAAGGTCTTAAAAGGTATTACATTTGACTTCAGGATTCCTGCATATACCCTGTAGTTACACACAGAACAATTTGCACATATCGTAATCGCACTACCTGCTTTTACATTTAATAACTCCAACACTTATTGCTATTATTTATTAGTTGGAGAAGGAAACATGCAGATTAATCATCACGAGCACTTGAGTTCATCATGTAAATATGCCAGATTTAACCATCAAGGCACATTTTTGGTCTGCCTTTTTATAATATATATAGTATCCTATGTTTATAAATGTTTGTTTAAGTAGAAGGTTAGTCTATTATATGGTATTGTAACTTATTCTGTATATTTTATATTGTGTATTTTTAGATACTACTGTTTATTTTGTATTTTATTCCATTTTTATGTTATTGTTTATATGTTTAACCCATATGTAGGGCCTGCTATAATGCCACTTTGACAACAAACAAAATCCCAATTTTGGATGGATAGCATATATCTAATCTAATCTAGTTGAAATGAAGATTGAGGATTTGAATGGAATTCATCCTTAAAATAATAAAATAACTTGTTTATATTTCTAATGTGCTTAGACCTGTATATTGGACATACACAGATTAGTTTTACATTATTTTAACTCATCATTTCTGCCTCTGTTGCTCACTCTAGGTGGGTTTGTTTGACTTGGAGGTGAACTGTTTGACTAAGATCCTGTTCGGGGCCCTTGTGGTGGTGTCGCTGGTCATGGTGGCCCTTCAGCACTTTACCGGCCGTTGGTACCTCCAAATCATTCGCTTCCTGCTGCTCTTCTCCAACATCGTGCCCATCAGGTACGACTTCATATCCTGGACTTTAAAGACATCTGTATTCTTGCTTTCATGCTCTTAATGTCTTTCATTTGTGTATAGCACTTGTGTTGAAAAGTGCTATATAAATACAATTGCCTTGCCCTGCCTTGCCTTGGGTACATATAAGGGGCAAAAAACCTCCCACTAATTTTTTTTTTATGCAGTTTGCGTGTCAACCTGGATATGGGGAAAATGGTTTTCAGTTGGATGATAAAGAAAGACTCCAAGATCCCCGGGACGGTGGTGAGAGCGAGCACCATACCGGAGCAGCTTGGACGCATCTCCTACCTGCTGACGGACAAAACAGGTTAGACTGGGAAGTGGCAGTAAGGAGCAGGGTTGGTTAAAGTATTCAGAACCTTTACTTAAGTAAACATACTAATACGACACTGTAAAAACATTGCATAACAAGTCAAAGTACCTCATAAAGAATGGTACTCAAAGTGTAAGGAGTAAAAGTACTTGTTGCACATCAAAATGACAACATATTTAAAGGGGAAAGCAGTAAATCCTCACAATTTAGAATCTGGAAGTGTGAAATGTTCTCACAAAAAACGGTTTTGCTCGTTGTTTAAGGTACCTCAATATAATGTTGGGTAGTTAAATCAATATCAAAGCATTATATTTCACATTCTATTCCCGAGTGTTTTGTCTAGAAATCGCCATTTGTAAAGTTACTAGGAACTAAATCTTCCTAATCCATAAATGTTGTGGAGTAAAAAGGACAATATTACAGTTCGAACTGTAGTGGAGTTGAGAAAATAAAGTACAGGTACCTAAAATGTCTACCCAAGTGCAATACTCAGAGTAAATATACTCCGTTACTCTCCAACTGGTTAAAAGCAGCATACTTGATATTAAAAAAGCCGTAGTCTTGTGGCTTATAGAAGCACAGAAGCCAGCATGTGGAGCAGTAAAGTGAGGAGTTATAGTGCAGAGGATTTGCCGAGGAAGTATCCAGTAGGACAGAGTTAAGTCGTTTCCTTCCCTGGGGGGTTTAGCTCTGCGGTGGGGTCTCTGCTCCCTGCTACTTATTGGACCCTTAAATCATAAAAAAAGCCTCTCATCCATACACACCTTCAGAGCACAACACCTCCACCAGTGCACTTCCTCAGGCGCGAGGTGTTACAGGTCAGATTTATAGCCCTCATGCCCAATAAAGTGATCAGCCTCTCCCCCTACCCAGAGCGTGATAAGGCCGGCGGGGTCCGCGGGTCAGGCTAATGTACGCGCGAGGCCCCTGAGGTCTTTTTGATATACTGGCGGAAAATGCTTTTAAAGTGAGTGTGAGGATACAGAGGGAAGGCTTCTGGCTTCCTTACCATATTTTTCCAATCACCATATGTGACATGCTAACTCTGTTTTTAGTAACTGCTTGTAAATCCAAACACTGTAGACGTACTTTTAGATATCTTTTGTGACCAAGTTTTTATTACATTTTCCACCCTTTTTCACAAGATGACATTAACATACAGAGACATTTATAATCCATGCATTTTATGACATAACATTTAATCGTCGTACACTTAAAGGTAGGGTAGGTAAGAATGGAGAAACCAGCTTGAGTGCGATAGAATTTTAAAGTACGCAGCCGAAAAAAATCTGCCCCTTCCTTCAGACTTCCTTACAGAGCCCCTCCTCCAACACACACGAACGCGCACATGACCAATGAGGGCACGAGATAAGTTTGTGCACAGATGGAAGGCAGACAGGCAGGTAGGCCATCCAGTTATTTTAGCCGGGCCGGCTCAGATGATTGGTCGTGCTTTTTACAGCGCCACGGCTTCCACAGACGACATTTTTTTTAATGTATTCATTGTCAAAGCATTTAATGTATTCATTGCTATCGGGATGTTAAGAGCATTCCATGGAATATAACAAAAAGTGTTTCTGAAGTGAATTACCTACCCCACCTTTAAGTGAAGAAAATATTTGTTTCAAATGTTTTCATTTCGAAACCAAAATGTAAAACTGTTTTTTCCTATAAATTAAGGCTGCATGATTTTGAAAGATATCTGATTGGGATTTTTATTTGTACTTTTCAGTGCATTAGGATTCACGATATTGCTCATTTTTGCATCATAATTCACATTGTCCTTGAAATATATCTATATACAGTATATAAATAAATGTAGGGTTTGGTTTCAGGAAGATATTTGCCAAACTAATATGTTTTATTAAGTCTGTAGATTACCGTTTGTAGGCTGGGATATCTCTATGGCTCGAATGGATTGATAGCATTGAACAAGGAGTGATGACAGCCACCCAAAATAGTTCTTTAAAACATATTCAGCTTTACTCTGCTCCCTGAGATTTAAATATTACACTAGTCCATATTTTGAAATTGATCAAAATTCAAATGCATAAGTATCACATGTAGCACAGTATGCTTAATTACATCTAATATTTTAAGGGGATATTCATACTTTTTTGAACACCTTTTTAATCCAATCTTTACCAGGAACTCTCACTCTGAATGAAATGGTGTTCAGGCGCCTCCATCTTGGAACGGTGGCGTACGGGATGGACTCGATGGATGAAGTACAGAGCCACGTGTTCAGCGCCTACACACAGGTAAGAACAACATGTCTACGCAGTGAGAAGAAATCACTGAACATCACTCATTTAGAAAAAACAAACAAAGAAGAAAAGATTGAAATTCCAAAATCTTGGGAAAGGCTAAAACAAACAGCCGCGAGCATTGTTTTAAGAAACGTATCGGTTTGTGATTATTGTTTGGTTGAATGCTTCCTGACCTCAGATGACACTCTTTGTCCCCCTTGACACCAGAGGTTAGCGAAGCAGGAAACAGGATTAGCCCACAAGCAAAGCGCTGACCGGACTTCTTAAATGACGCTACCATTAACCCCTGGCACGCACAGGCGGCTAAAAATAGCAAGGGCACAATGCAGAAGCAAATTGTTCAAATGTACTTCTCACATCTGGTTATGTTTACAGGCCACTATCACAGCAATCATGGGAACTGCCGTTAGCGAAACGGCTCGTTTCTCAGACTAAAAACTCCAGTTTAAAGTGAACAAAGTGTGTTCATGGGTCATTTCACAATTGGAGGACAATTTAGACATCAAACCTTCTGAGAAGTTAACCCTGCAGCGCTTATTGGTGTGCTAGAAGCCTGTAGAAATGGTATGTATGTATTAAAGTATTTGAACCTTTTGATCCAACTATAATTTAAACACAGTTGTATTCATTTTGAAGAAAATATTATAAGTTGTTGCATCATGCTTAGGCTACCTGGTGGCAATAAATAAAAAGCAGTTTATATTCTGTGGAAATAGATTATGCTAAATGATACATACACATTTAATTTGACTGCAGATAATGAATTGAACTGCAGAAAATGCAACTCTTGAACTGTTAATATTCTAATTATTGAAAAGGGGTTGCATTTAACAATGATAGCAAAAGCCTAGAAGGAGGGACAATAGAAAAATGCCATTTTATGGGGAGTTTGAGAGATTTGATAGTGCATCCATTGTATGTTGAAGCATTTTGAGCATTTCATACGTGGGACAGAACATTTCCTCCAAATCCGGAATGACCCATAAAGTGTGTTCATATAGTTTGTTTATAGAGTGGTGCAGTGACGAGTCCTGAGTTAGCATTTTACCACTTCCTGTTCCCTCGTCTCAGAGCCAATGGGATTTCTCCATAGGATTTTGGAAAATATCTGGAAATAAGGTCTGTGGTTGACACACATTTAAGAGACGGATCACGTTTTGTTCTACGACATTTAATACATCAGCAGTGACCCCACTGGTGATTTCTGAAGAGTTTACGTGTCTGAAAAACGATGGTTGTTACCAAGTGGCTGAATAGGACTACAGAAGTTGTGGAGGACATTGAACGTCATTACGGCGAACACGTAAATACTCCCGCTAAGTTTGTTTTCCCCGTGTTCTGCTTGAAAGCAAGTACCTGCCTCCTGCAAACTGTTCAAACAAACGCTTCAACAATTTAGAATCTGTATGTTTGAATATGGATCTTAAGTTGGCGTGACGTTGAAGCAGCGACCCTGCTGTAGTTCGTTTATAGCATAACGTTAGCATTTTGCTTCTGGCGATTAGATTTATGATTAGAAAATTATAAAAGTAGGGTAGACATGTGGATATTATCCGGCTGAACAAAACGTGCATTCATCATACAGGTTTGTTTTCCACAGACCTTATTTCGAGCTATTTTCCAAAATCCTATGGAGAAATCCCATTGCTTTTTTGTCGAGGGAACCCATGCAGCTTACTTCCGGGTAAATACGTCATCCCTGCACCACTCTATAGTCAGTACAGTTTGACTTTACAGATTATAAACTGTACTGGCTTCAAAAGCTGCCTTCACTTGGAGAAAAAAACCTTGAAACCACTCTGAAAGATTCCCATTAGAAAAGGTAATACGTCTTTTCAGATCCCTCTAGTATGTCACCTTTTGATCACACTGCCTTCTGTCCTTTTCCTGCAGCCCAGCCATGACCTCCAAGCCTCCAGAGCTCCAGCAGCCACTAAGGTCCGCAAGACCATCAGCAGCAGAGTCCACGAGGCGGTGAAGGCCATCGCGCTGGTGCACAACGTGACGCCCGTGTACGAAGCCAACGGAGTGACGGACCAGGCCGAGGCGGAGCAGCACTATGAAGACACGTGCAGAGTGTACCAGGCCTCCAGCCCCGATGAGGTACGATGGTCCGACACAGGAACATGTACCTTACACTAGGGGTGTCCAAACCTTTTTCACTGAGGGCCACATACAGAAAAATATACAAAGGGCTGGGTCACTCACTAGAGCAGGGGTGTCAAACTCAATTTCATCACGGGCCACATTAGCATTATGGTTGCACTCAAAGGGCCGGTTGTAACTTTATACTATATAAAAATACATATATAAATATTTAATATATATAAAATAATGTATTATATTACATTATTGCCTCTGCATTGGATTATCGGATAGGGTAATAACTTCATAATTAACTACGTCTGAAAGCAGAAGTCTAGAGCAAATAATTGCAAGTCTCTTCAGTGAGAATGTCACAAAATGATTTTAAAAGAAAGTCAAAATCAAAGTGAAATTTGAAAAAAAAGTAACATTTTGAAAAAAAAGTCAAATTCTGAGGAAAAAGTCCAATCTGAGATGCATTGTGGGACATGTAGTTTATGGGCAACGTGCTTCTGTAAATCGACATGTAACCGTATTTGCAAGCTCTTGTGGGGCCTCATAAAATGAAGGCACGGTCCGGATTTGGCCCCCGGGCCTTGAGTTTGACACCCCTGCACTAGAGGTATATCGCCTCATAAGTTCAGTTATAAGTTAGCAAAATCAATCAAATGTAGGTAATTGATGCGTGTGAGTGTTGGCAGCTCATCCCTTAAAACAGAAGCTCAGATTGATTATAATAAGGAGAAATATGAAGGGTCTATTTCAAGCTTGTTAAGAAAAAAGCCCAATAACTTATTTACATATCAACTAAGATTTGTTAGAAAATGTTTTCCAACTTTAATTGACTGAATTTATTTGAAAAGTGTTCTTATTAACACATGAATACTACTGTGTAATATATTTGTACATGTATATTTAAGAAGTACAATATAAGACAAGCACAAGTTTGATTTGTGGGAACATATTCCATTATACTTTTTTAATTTGATGAGGGCCGATTCAAAATGGTCCCCGGGCCGTAGTTTGGACACCCCTGTCTTACACCAACTACAACTATTTAATTCCTCTCCTTTTGTCCTGCGTCTTTGTGCAGTACATCCATCAAATGATATACCTGAATTCACATGGAAGCTACACAGGAAATATATGTTGTCCAAACACGTCATCTTGGCATGTTGGGAAATGTACACCGTATCTACTTGAACATAATTTTTCTCAAGGACAAACATTGACAGTCTGTGATCAGACTTCCGATCTTAAGACGGTGTTCTCGCTCTTTCTCAGTAAAGGCCATTATCTCGAGCGTCTTCCCTGATTTCACAAGCCATAACGACCTTCCACATTCATGTCCTTGATCTGTATGAATTGTTTGAACTTCAGGAAGAGGGCTGCAGGAATCCGACTTGTATCCATTTCCTGCGATGTAAATACGGATTTCCTTAATGGGCTCCCCAGGCCATTGCACTTATACCCTTTTGAATTTCCTCTTTGATAGCATATTTTAATAGAGCGTAGGACGTCTGCTGCGATTAAAACACTGTGGTTTACATGGTGGAAAGGAAATTGAGCAGTTTTAGGTGGATAGAAAGGTAACCGTTTATTTGTCCTGAAACAGTACAGTAAGATTCAGTTTGCTCTCCAACAGCTTTCAGGAAGTCTTCAAATAGATCTGGTTTTGGTTGTGAGTGTTATGGACACAATGCCAGTTACCGCTAAATGCTGTCAAAACTGAAACATCTTTTAAGATGTCTGCATGCCAATGATAATAGGAGTTTTTGCTCTGGTAATAGTAATCAAACGGATGATTGAAATGATGTGTTATCCAACCAAGATAGTTCTGAATCACTTTCCTCTACTCTCGTAAAAAACGTCCGTTGTGCGATTGTTCTGAGTCAAGCCGAATGGATACAGCATTAGTCAGTCCAGTTAGAAATCTGCAGTGGATTTTGAAACTGCGATTACAATGCAGTGCTGTTGTGGTAACCAGATCCAAGAATCCCCTGTCAGTGAGCATTTCTAGACTGTGACTAAGTCTTATTTCCCAAAATGCGTGACCAACATTACGGTAGTGAGAGCTTTTATGACGTGAAAGTACTCCTGGCCTGGCATTGTCAGACTACATGGTCACGTATTTGTATAATAAGTGATTTCTCAACAATAAAAAAATGTGCGGTTTAGCGTTAACATTGACATTTTGTTGTTTACTCTCATCTGTGTCCATTTGGCCGTGTGCTATTAGGCCTGTCAGAAGATGGATGATGGATTGGGGATGTGAAGTGACTTCAGGTCTGGAAGTCTTCTCCCTCACACACGTAACATTGATTTAATGGAAGTCGTCTGTTGTGTCCTTCAGAGAGGAGACAAAACTATATTTTCACTTCAGAAATTGACATTTACGGAGCTTATCAATCAATAGTGTTGAGTGCTGGACATTTTTGCGTTATTGATTAAGACTAAATGGTTACTGTGCTTTCTACTCAGTCCAAAGTGCCTTTAATTGTTTGTTTTGTATTCCAAGTAATGGAACATATTGATATAAAAGGCTTACACATAATCATTTGTTCTTTTCATTTACGTTATCCATCTTAAACAAGGACAAATCAGAAAGAATACTGAATTTGCGCCGGGATTTATTAGCATTACGACTATACTTCATGCAGATACTTTCAAGTATTAAGCCAAATATTGTCCTTGGATACAATTTGGATATTGCACTTATCAATACTGCAATTTAAAATCCATTTATTGTGCAGCCCTATTGAGAACAAACAAATCACTGGTTACTTTCCCCTCTTGCTGTGTGCAGTACAATGATGTTTTATTATTTGATAACAACCTAAAACCAGTATCAGATCAATACTGCAGCCTGTCCATGTGTTTCCTCTCCTACAGTCACGTATCAATGAGCAGCCAGTAAAGCTTTTCCCCTTGGTGTTGGTAGGTGTCGCTGGTGCAGTGGACTGAGAGCGTGGGCCTCACTCTGGTGGGAAGAGACCAGTCCTCCATGCAGCTGCGGACCCCTACTGGACAAATACTGAACTTCACCATCCTGCAGATATTCCCCTTCACCTACGAGAGCAAGAGGATGGGCATCATAGTGCGAGTGAGTGACAAGATCACTCAGTTTGTCTGTCAGCTAATTGCAGGTTGTGTATGTTGTGTGTATGTGCTTAAAATAAATTCAATAGACTTCATAGTTTGCTTAATCTTCTTTTGTTTACAGTGTATCTCAGTGGTTGTTGCTATGTGGGCGACTGTGTCTCAATACTTTACCAAGACAAACAGAATGTGATCCTCATTATCTGATAGAAACCTCACCTCCTAACCTCTGACTAAGTCTGATGACTAACTTTACTTTTGTTGGCTGGGATTTACCTCAGGAAGCCTGGATGTTAAAACTTCCTCAGGATAATATTTTTGAACGCTTTGTGAAACCCCTTGTGTATACCAAAATAAGTTGAGCATTTCTAGGCAACCCAAAATCATTGAATAGTGGGTTAGGAGTGGAAATCCTGAAACAAACTGGGTTATTCAATTTAACATGTATAAGATTTGTCTATTTCATTTCTATTTCTATGTGAATACATTGTTTTTTTAGGATGAATCTACTGGAGAGATCACTTTCTACATGAAGGGTGCAGATGTGGTGATGGCAGGCATCGTGCAGTATAACGACTGGCTGGAAGAGGAGGTACAATCGTGATAGTATAACTATTATATATGAATGTACAGACTTGGTGATAGGCTAATCCAGATGTTGCTGACTTTGTTTCCAGTGCGGGAACATGGCGAGGGAAGGCCTCAGGGTCCTTGTGGTGTCAAAGAAGTCCCTGACAGAGGAGCAGTATCAAGATTTTGAGGTAAGTTTAGTGTATTTGCACACTAATGAAGATATCAATGACTAAAGCTACAATTCACTTCAGTGCAGGAGACGAAAGGAAGCCTGAAAGGGTTATTGAGAGTCCTCTTATTGAAACAAGTACAGAAATGGCATTATTACCTATCATAGACAAATCAACACATTCCAAAAACAACATCTCTGTACATAAAACACACAGGAAAGGATACATAGAAGTTTAAGAAGGAACGAGAACTAGAATAGGTCAATATGAACAACCAACAGAAGCATCTTGCCATTAGGTTCAAGGTGCATGACAAATGATTTGAACTGGTTCTGCAAAGCCAAGGAAGATATTCATTTCAGGTACATATGTACTGAGTTTAATAAGTGTTGACCTTTTAATTTGATTTTAAAAATGTATGCCTGTATGACCTGTGCCTCTTTTGCCATAACATTAACACACAGTGACCTGGGGCTAAACTGAGGACCTTTGACACTACTCACACTCCTATAGTTTGTCTGAATTATGTCCAAAAAAAAGCCATCATAGCTGTGCAATAAATAGCAGAAATATCAACACATTGTTCAATATTTGTTCAACTCAAATTGCCCTCAAAACCCCCACAAATGTATAATGATGTTTTATGCAGACATTTTCAGCATTTTTAAATGTCAGAGTGTGTTGCTGACTAATTAGACTCACCTCTGACCCCCGGCCCTTCAGTCCACACACCCCACCCTCCCACACACACACACCCTCTCATTGTGTGAGCAGGGCAGGGCCGTCTCCCCTTGCAGTCTTCGGCCCCAGGCCCGTTTCTGAAGAGTAATTGTGTGAGCAGAGCTGGTGGGCAGCAGTGAGTCACACACACACTGAGTCACACACATAGTTTGTGTTCCTGTATGAGTCACTCTCAGATTGTTTTTGCTTTATCTCTCTCACATATTGCCCTGAAGCTGGAAGGCTGGAGAGGGGCGTTAACCGATTGATATTGTCTTTTGGGGATTTTCAGATTTATAAATCACAGTAGAATTAAATGCAGGCAATCACTGTATAGCTTAAAGGTGGGGTATGTACGTTTGAGAAACCGGCTCGAGTGCGCTAGAATTTGAAAATACACGACCGGAGAAAATCTGCCACTTCCTTACAGAGCCCCTACTCCAACACACACGAACGCGCACATGACCAATGAGGGCACGAGATAAGTTTGTGCACAGATGGAAGGTTGACAGGCAGGTAGGCCATCCAGTTATTTTAGCCGGGCCGGCTCAGATGATTGGTCGTGCTTTTTACAGTACTACGGCTTCCACAGATGAATGTTTTTTATGGATTTTTTGTCAAAGCACTTAAGATATTCATTGCTATCGGGATGTTAAGAGCATTCCATGGAATATAACAAAAAGTGTATCTCGAGCCGGTTTCTCAAACTTACATACCCCACCTTTAAGGGAAATGTTGATATCTTTATAAGGACATTTTTTTGCATATTTATGCTGCACATAATATAATATCTGTACAAAATGTGTGTGAAACATTTCTGTTGCAGTTTGTAACTTGTCTCTCTATCCCTGGCTGTTTTCCTGCTTGTTCTTGTTCAACCCGCCATTTTGTCGCTTTGATTTTTATTTATTTTTTATTACTATTATGTTTGTTTTACTCTCTGTATTTTATAATGTTTTTAGTTGATTTCATTCTCTGTGTGAACCGTATGTGAAAGCACTTTGTAACTCTGTTTGAAAGGGGGCTATATAAAAAGTGATTCTACCTAATTTGTATTACTTTCATCTCCCCCCCACTCAAAATCTTCCCGTCCCTCCTCAGGCACGTTACGTCCAGGCCAAGCTCAGCGTGCATGACCGCTCTCTGAAGGTGGCCACAGTGATCGAGAGTCTGGAGATGGAGATGGAGCTGTTGTGTCTGACCGGGGTGGAGGACCAGCTCCAGACGGATGTGCGGCCCACACTGGAGATCCTCCGCAACGCAGGAATCAAGGTCTTGAAGGGGGGGGGGGGCTCACAGTAGCAACAAACTAAGAAAACAAAATATAGAAACAAGACCAGAGCATATGTTTTCCTCATCTACCTACAGGAACCAGCCACATCCAAGCAGCTCCTTCATGTTTAACAACCAAGATTATAGTGAATTTGAATGAATTATAGAGACATTTGTTCGTGGTTTGGGTTGGCACGCTTCACATGGTTGACGGGAAGTTCTTCAACCCACATTTGAATGGAAAAAAGCATTTGGTTTTCTGCAAGGGAACTAGAAATCTGACCAGTCACTGTGATAAACGTTGAGCTGATAGTCAGAGTTGCTGTTTTTAATTTAAAGGGTCGGTTCAGAATCGGAAATCCTTTTTGTCCAAGAAACTGTAAGCAGTGCAGATAAAAGGCAAATAAATAAGAAACACATGTCAATAAAATACCGATCAATTAAGTACATATCCAAGGTATAGAAATGAGTAGCAGCATGCGAGTTAGTGAACATATAATAAGTGTTGATCTGCCACTTTTATCATTATTACATTTTGAAGGTGATATTGTTTTATTTCACAACAGTGTTGTTAGGTAGATACGTAGCAATCAGTAACAACAATACTAAGCTGAAACAAATGTATGTATTGCACATAATTATTGCTATTTCACAACAATGCAATACTTAGGTGCGTGTTGTTTCATATTCACCCAGAATAAGTCAAAACTCATGTTCTCACTTAAAGGTGGGGTAGGTAATTCACTTCAGAAACACTTTTTGTTATATTCCATGGAATGCTCTTAACATCCCGATAGCAATGAATACATTAAATGCTTTGATAATTAATACATTAAAAAAATGGCATCTGTGGAAGCCGTGGCGCTGTGAAAAGCACGACCAATTATCTGAGCCGGCCCGGCTAAAATAACTGGATGGCCTACCTGCCTGTCAGCCTTCCATCTGTGCACAGACTTATCTCGTGCCCTCATTGGTCATGTGCGCGTCCGTGTGTGTTGGAGGAGGGGCTCTGTAAGGAAGTCTGAAGGAAGGGGCAGATTTTTTTCGGCTGCGTACTTTCAAATTCTAGCGCACTCGAGCTGGTTTCTCCATTCTTACCTACCCTACCTTTAACTCGAGTCATAGCAGAGCAGATATGTGTTTTACTCAGGTTTAAAGATATGTGTCTGTGATGTTTGCCTTCAACAACAGTACAGTGGAGGTTAATGGCATTTAGGTACAGATAGGAAATAGAGGATCAAAAAGCTAATCTATGGTCAATAGTCACACATTGAAATTACCCCACACACACAGTGGGTGTTTCTCAATGTCGAGGACGCTTCCTTGGTAGGACATGTCTTCCGAGTCACTTCCTTCAGAAGCTAGGCAAGAATCCGTCCTGGCATTCCGAGAACGAAGAGTGGAACAGGCGAGCAAGTGTGCAGGTGTGCGTCATATGAGAAGCCCCGCCTTAAATTTTCCGCCACAGATTTTGGGAAATTGGTCCGTGCGCAAAGCATTGTGGGGATTTTAAGACCGCGGAGGATACACATGTGCAGCCTCGAAATTTCTCGCTACAAAGTACCCCGGGCTCGGTAGAATTCCAAGGAGCCTGGAACAGTCCTTCGGCGGGACTCGATGACGTAGCATCCTTGAAATAGTGGCTCTGGAGCATCCTTCCTTGACATTGAGAAACACCCAGTGACATTTATCCCATACCAGTATTAGGAGTTATTATAATATATTAGCTATTATATACACAGAGCCTGACGCTCACAGCTTTGAAATTAAATAAATGAATAACTAATACATTACAGAGCAGGCTACAAACCATTTTAAATTGGGACTTCTTCATCTCTAGAAAGTAGTTCCACATTTTCAAAATAACAGGAACATTGATCGGGTGTGACATGTTACTGCTGAATTTGTTTTATTAGATGAAATAATCTCTTAGATGCATCTGACAAAACATTTGACTCTTAATGAGGACATTTTATTAGGACAGTTGTTTTTTGGGGGGTTAATTAACCATTTGAATCCTGCTGTAACCTTAAATAAGCCACATCAAAAACGGCACCATTGAGATAGTCTGAGAATGAATTAGGATTCTGATATCAATCAGGTGTTTGTCTTCTGTTTGAAGCACTACAATAAAGTAAGTGTGTTTGATCGTCAGATAAGTTCACAAACTGACGCTCGCAGACAGAGCAGTTCAGGTTACTGATTAGACTCTTTGATCCCTGGAATTTAGCTTTTTTTAGCTGATTCACAGACTGATTGTTGTTTCACATTTGTGTGGAATTTCTCTTCAAACGGTGCGTCTCAGGAATCAAAAAAATAATCATGTTACTCTGGATTCTTTGTAGGTGTGGATGCTGACAGGAGACAAGCTCGAGACGGCCACATGCACGGCGAAGAACGCACATCTGATCACCCGCAACCAGGACATCCACATCTTCAGATCCGTGAGTGCAGGACAAGGACCCCCCCCCTCTCTTTTATACATATAAAGTGGGAGGAGCCACATGTCAAGTCTCTGTATTTTCTATCTTTATTATGTTGTATTTTACTGCTTTCACATTTTCTTGATGGCACTTGCACTCTCAATCCCATACAGAAGTTATTAGTTTAGAGTCCTCTCCTGCTGATGTTCAGGTGTATATCAGTATGTAGTGTCTCTACTTTAAAGAGTCCTCTCCTGCTGATGTTCAGGTGTATATCAGTATGTAGTGTCTCTACTTTAAAGAGTCCTCTCCAGCTGATGTTCAGGTGTTTATCAGTATGTAGTGTCTCTACTTTAAAGAGTCCTCTCCTGCTGATGTTCAGGTGTATATCAGTATGTAGTGTCTCTACTTTAAAGAGTCCTCTCCTGCTGATGTTCAGGTGTATATCAGTATGTAGTGTCTCTACTTTAAAGAGTCCTCTCCTGCTGATGTTCAGGTGTATATCAGTATGTAGTGTCTCTACTTTAAAGAGTCCTCTCCTGCTGATGTTCAGGTGTATATCAGTATGTAGTGTCTCTACTTTAAAGAGTCCTCTCCTGCTGATGTTCAGGTGTATATCAGTAAGTAGTGTCTCTACTTTAAAGAGTCCTCTCCTGCTGATGTTCAGGTGTATATCAGTATGTAGTGTCTCTACTTTAAAGAGTCCTCTCCTGCTGATGTTCAGGTGTATATCAGTATGTAGTGTCTCTACTTTAAAGAGTCCTCTCCTGCTGATGTTCAGGTGTATATCAGTATGTAGTGTCTCTACTTTAAAGAGTCCTCTCCTGCTGATGTTCAGGTGTATATCAGTATGTAGTGTCTCTAATTTAAAGAGTCCTCTCCTGCTGATGTTCAGGTGTATATCAGTATGTAGTGTCTCTACTTTAAAGAGTCCTCTCCTGCTGATGTTCAGGTGTATATCAGTATGTAGTGTCTCTACTTTAAATAGTCCTCTCCTGCTGATTTTCAGGTGTATATCAGTATGTAGTGTCTCTACTTTAAAGAGTCCTCTCCTGCTGATGTTCAGGTGTATATCAGTAAGTAGTGTCTCTACTTTAAAGAGTCCTCTCCTGCTGATGTTCAGGTGTATATCAGTAAGTAGTGTCTCTACTTTAAAGAGTCCTCTCCTGCTGATGTTCAGGTGTATATCAGTAAGTAGTGTCTCTACTTTAAAGAGTTCTCTCGTGCTGATGTTCAGGTGTATATCAGTAAGTAGTGTCTCTACTTTAAAGAGTCCTCTCCTGCTGGTACCAATTATATTTGTTGCTAAACACACACAAGGAGTGAAAAGTTAGGCCCCCTTGGATCTTTTTGGACCCACTACAGCCGCTATAGTGGGTAATACTTGATTCCAGCACCAAAGGGTTCATCCAAGTTGAATGCAGAATGCTTCCTGACTCCCTCGACCCACGGGCATCCATCCTCTGTGAGGCCAGACCCATTAGCTAGTGGTCATTCAGCCTCACATAACTAAACATGCAGCCCGAGCCAGCATCCTCAGCTGAATAAATCACCTCCCACCAGAGAAAGCATCCGAGCCGCTGTCAGAGAGAACAAACAGAGAGGAGAAACCAGCTGAACCACTCCCACAGGGAACACGCAGAGGGCTCACTTCCTAATTTGTTTTGCAGGTTGCGGTCTCTTTTTGCCGCTTTGATAATCCCCCTTTCTGCCTTTCCCCTCTGGCAGCGAGCCAGAGCTGAAGGAGAGCCTGCCATGTAGGAAGGTTACAACTTGCGCACAACTGCGGTTACTGGAAGAGAATAACAATGGTTGGCACGGCTTGAAAACCTCAGTCCCAGTGGACGAGGAGTGCTGACGGGGCCGGCTACACATACATCTGGATTAGCTTCCTGGTGGCCACCAATGGTCTGATCTGGATTGACGTATGAATAGTGAGCGGCTGAAGGATATTCATACCAGAGCATGACTCCTGCTGACAGATTAACACCGTGCCTTGTCAGAGCTGCATTTCTGGAGATTTTCTAGGTCTATATTTGAACCTGACCTATTGTTTGTTTTATGTTACTATGTATTTTCCCAGTTTGTCATTCCAATTTCGATTTCATTATTTAATCCCCTCTCTATTAAGCACTTATCAACCATGAGGATTCATTATCTACAGTTCTTACATTGAATTAATCCTTTCTTTCCTGCTGTGTTGAGCTCAACATTGAAATGAGGTTGACGCATTATAACAAGAATTGTACCATTAAAAAATCATCATCATCATCCATTGTTTACTCTGGGAAAAACTGACTGAGCATTAAGCTGTTTTACAGAAACACCTTGAATTCACATTCGTACACGCTAAGTTGAATAACAAACATTTAAATACCAAACAAGTCTGCCAAGAAGGAAAGACATAAAACAACAACAACAGCAGCAATTAAAACAATAAAATGCAGAAATAAAAACTATAAATATCAACCATGTTTGGGAAACAACCACGTCATGTAGCATAAACTCTCGCACACACTCTCCCCCCCCTGCCTGTAATGCCTCCATAGAGTGCCACAGTGACGCGTCCTAAAACCCGGAAGTAAACTCCTTCCGGTTCCTTCGAATATCCATCCATCCATAGGATTTTGGAAAATAGCTGGATATAAGGTACTGATGGTTGACACACATTTAAGAGACGGATCACGTTTTGTTCAGCCGGATAATCCCCACATGTCTAACCTACTTTTATAATTTTCTAATCATAAATCTAGTCGCCAGAAGCAAAATGCTAACGTTCTGCTATAAACGAACTACAGCACGGTCGCTGCTTCAACATCACGCCAACTTAAAGGTGGGGTAGGTAAGTTTGAGAAACCGGCTCGAGATACACTTTTTGTTATATTCCATGGAATGCTCTTAACATCCCGATAGCAATGAATGTCTTATCTTAAATTTCATCTGTGGAAGCCGTACTGTAAAAAGCACGACCAATCATTTTAGCCGGCCCGGCTAAAATAACTGGATGGCCTACCTGCCTGTCAGCCTTCCATCTGTGCACAAACTTATCTCGTGCCCTCATTGGTCATGTGCGCGTTCGTGTGTGTTGGAGGAGGGGCTCTGTAAGGAAGTGGCAGATTTTCTCCGGTTGTGTATTTTCAAATTCTAGCGATCTCGAGCCGGTTTCTCCAACTTACCTACCCCACCTTTAAGATCCATATTCAAAACTACAGATTCTAAATGGTGCAAGTTGAAGCGTTTGTTTGAACAGTTTGCAGGAGGCAGGTACTTGCTTTCAAGCAGAACACGGGGAAAACAAACTTAGCGGGAGTGTTTACGTGTTCGGTGTAATGACGTACAACGTCCTCAACTTCTGTAGTCCTATTCAGCCACTTGGTAACAACCATCGTTTTTCAGACATGTAAACTCTTCAGAAATCACCAGCGGGGTCACTGCTGATGTATTTAATGTCGTAGAACAAAACGTGATCCGTCTCTTCAATGTGTCTCAACCACAGACCTTATTTACAGATATTTTCCAAAATCCTATGGAGAAATCCCATTGCTTTTTGTCGAAGGAACCAGAAGTGGTAAAATGCTAACTTACTTCCGGGTTTTAGGACGCGTCACTGTGGCGCTCTATTGGACTCCTTTTGTAACTTCCTGAACATAGCGACATCACCTTGGAACACTTGTGTTACGATTGGCTAGTGATAGGCTTAGGGCCGGGACATCTCTAAGCGGTTGACCAATCACAACAGAGCTGGCCAGCTAACCAATCAGAGCAGACTGGGCTCTGGTTTCAGACAGAGGGTGAAAAGAGGTGCTGCAGCACAGGCAGTATGAGAACAATAAAGAGCTGTTTGAACAGTGAAGCATGGAGAGGCACTACATAGTACATACAATGTGAATGTTTTACAGATCAGAAATGCTATCTGGAGAACAATTCTGAATGGTGCGACTTCAATTAAAATGTGCACAAAGATTCAGTTTAATGTTGTGATATATAACGCTTGCCATCATTGCAGCTGAAGAAAAACAGACTGACAGTCTTTAAAAGCTGCCGGTGTGAAACCAATCAGGATGCTGAGGCTGACAGATTGTCCCCCTTGATAACTCCTCATTGCGAGTGTGTTGTGTGCGTGTTTATTAAATGTGGTTATCATTGCTATAGGTGACAACCCGAGGGGAAGCCCACCTGGAGCTCAACGCCTTCAGGAGAAAACACGACTGCGCTCTGGTGATATCGGGGGACTCGCTTGAGGTAAAACTCTCCTCGCACTGACTTATCTCTCTTTATGAAACTCTGACATGTTTTCTGTGTGACGCCTGATACAATCGCTGCCACCTGAAGTATCTCTGGAAGTGGTGTTTGTGGTTAGAGTCACACTCTATAAGGCAGTAGGAGTGTAACTGTCAGTCAAGATGAGACCCACAGCTGAGATCGGTTATATGTGGTGGCCTAATCTGTCCGATCTGGTTGTTTTTCTTGCAGGTTTGTCTGAAATACTACGAGTATGAGTTCATGGAGCTTGCGTGTCAGTGTCCCGCTGTGGTTTGCTGCCGATGCACCCCCACCCAGAAGGCTCAGATAGTGCGGCTGCTGCAGGAGCGCACAGGGAAACTCACCTGCGCTGTAGGTGAGTCGGTAAAAGAAACTGTCCCAAAAGCTTTCGATGAGGGGATACATTTTTCAGTTATTTAAATTGTATTGGTTTTTTTATTTTACATTTTACAACCCTTCACCACATCCTCCTCCGAACGTATGTATCTGTTGCAGCCACAAACTAACACTCCCCGTTTGAGCTTTGATAAACTGCCATAATTAAACAAAGCTGATTTTAAATTTGCTTTATCAAATCAAATCAAATCAAAGTTTATTTATAAAGCACATTTAAAAGCGATATTTGGTCGGGCCAAAGTGCTGTACATGTAATAAATACTACAATCACATAAAAACACATTTCTATAATCACAATAAAAGAGATATATCAAAAACACAGGGAAAAGTCAGGAGTCGTGCTCCGCTCTGACTAAAAGGCCAGGGAGAAGAAGTGTGTTTTAAGAGTAGATTTAAAAACCCCTAGGGTCTGGGCCGACCTCACATGGAGGGGCAGAGTGTTCCAATTATTATTATTATTATTATTATTATATATAATTAATTCATTTATGATGATGACACCTTTGGCTGGGTCTTAACATATATAACCTTTATTGCTTTGAATACATACATATATTATTTCAAGATAATATAAATGACCACAGAATGATTTGTACTAAACATGTTAGTAAACCAAATACAAGAAATACAAAATAATTAAAATGACAAAAAGACTATTCAAAAAAATGTGAAGTAGTTGATTCCTAGAAACTTGCACTTCCTTTTTTTTGTTTCACATGAATAGTTGTGTGATGCGTCACAGTGCAACACAGCTCACTGAATCAATCATTTCATACGTTATTTCATTGGAAAGATAAGTGTCTTTTTAAGCCTTATCAATGGCCCGTTTTTCTTACTCATTATCTGTTAAACCCCAAGCTTCCTAACCTTACATTGTATTTCCCCGTCTATCGCTGCGGTTATTATCTCCTAATCTGTCCAAATGAAGGGAGTGTTTCATACTCTAACACTCTCACTAAGGGTTTGTGAGTCACTGATGTGAATCCTGACACCTCCATGGCTTTTGTTGCCTCTTAGGGGACGGAGGAAACGATGTCAGCATGATCCAGGAAGCGGACTGTGGCGTGGGAGTGGAGGGAAAAGTAAGACTCTGTCCATCTCATCGCTTCACATTGACATGCCGCTCTCACAGATTTTTTTTACTTTGTGCTTCCTGTCAAGATCTCTCTCACGTTCAGAGACATGTAGAGAGACAGGCGCACAGATGATTCCTCTTTATGAGGATCCATTGTCCGAGGAGAGGAAACTAAAATGACAGGATGCTGTTGTGCTCGAGTAAAAGTAAGAGTCTGTTATCAGCCTTCTACTCATGGTGGTCTCGGTGAATTCCCCCTGAAGACGGCTAGTTTGGACCTCAGGCATGTGTCAGCATTAGTACTACTAAGAGACATTTCTTGACCTACCTTTTTGTAAATGTACTCATTTCCTTTCTTGCTAAGAGTTAGTTGAGAACCAATTGTTGATACCACTCTTACATCTATCTATAAGAGATAGAACCAGTTAGCTTAGCATAAAGACTGGAAACGGGGAAACATTTAGCCTGGTAGAAACGGTTAGAAGACTACATCTCCCTAGCTTTAACTCAAAGATTAACACTTATATATTTTAAATGTGAAATCCGTTCAATAATCTAAAGGGTAAAAACAAAAGTTTGAGGTTATGTCCATCTATCTATCTATCTATCTATCTATCTATCTATCTATATCTATCTATCTATCTATCTATCTATCTATCTATCTATCTATCTATCTATCTATCTATCTATCTATCTATCTATATCTATATCTATATCTATCTATCTATCTATCTATCTATCTATCTATCTATCTATCTATCTATCTATCTATCTATCTATCTATCTATCTATCTATCTATCTATCTATCTATCTATCTATCTATCTATCTATCTATCTATCCATCTATCCATCTATCTATCTATCCATGTATCTATCTATCTATCTATCCATCTATCCATCTATCCATCTATCCATCTATCCATCTATCCATCTATCCATCTATCCATCTATCCATCTATCCATCTATCCATCTATCCATCTATCCATCTATCCATCTATCCATCTATCTATCTATCTATCTGAGTGAGAGATGCTGCACTTCAGTTTTTAGCAGCTCCAGAAAGGAGGCCATGCCAACAGTGTTGTTAAGGGCAACGGTTGCAAATCATTTGTGTGACTGTTGGTTGGAAAAAGACAAGCAATTATAATACATCAACTTCTTTGGGACATGTCATATTTCACTTGCATTTAGGAGAACAAAACAATATCAAGTGATTGACAAAACAATCATAAGAATATAAAAAAACCTTGTATTTAAAAAGGGATATTCCAAGTGTTTATACATGTCAGGGATCATGTGTCCACCCTGTGTCTGTATACCTGTCACTGTGCAGTAATAAAAGCCCCTCAGACCTGCTGCGCGGCTCAGACGTCTTGCAGCGCGCCCTCACTGCCCTCTGTGTGTCCCACAGGAAGGCAAGCAGGCCTCGCTCGCCGCAGACTTCTCCGTGACTCAGTTCAAACATTTGGGCCGTCTCCTCATGGTCCACGGACGCAACAGCTACAAGAGATCGGCAGCGCTCAGCCAGTTCGTCATCCACAGGAGCCTGTGCATCAGCGCCATGCAGGTACAGTACAAATAAACACAGACATTAGATTTGTGTTCATCATTCATGTTGAAATGATCCTTGTGAATTACAAGCGTTTCAAATATTTTGGCTCAATCAGTATCAGTTTGCAAAACCACAAAATACTCCCTCCAAAGTTAACAAAGAACATTAAAAACATCTGTATCTTATTAGATATTAAATCTCAAACTTCATAATTTTAGCATAACACTTTTTTTGTCTCCCCATGAATTGTACTGTCCATGTTTCAATTTAAATTAGATTAATACATTCATCAAATAATGTAACTAATTCTCATCGACGTCAACAATGGTTGTTTCCACACAATTATACAGATAGCAATGATTCTTAGTAAAAACGATTGTAATAAATTACTATAAAATAAAAAACAAATATTTAAAATAATTATGAAAAAGGAAATACAATAAGAATTTGAAAAAAAGTGAATTATATCTGAATTTAAAAGTGTAAGCAGTAAAAAGTGCTTATATTGTGCAGAAATTAGCAAAATAGTCTCAAGAAAGTTACATTTTTCATAATACAGAGTATAAGGAAGGACAGAAAGATGTAACAAGTTGTGCATTTATTATTATTATTATTATTATTATTATTATTATTATTATTTAACAAAATCTATTATCTCAAAAAGGGAAGAGATTAATTATGCCTTTTGCTATTAGCTCATTTCCATCTGAGGTACCCTGAACCAAAGCAATCCTAAATCACAGTAAGATGTCTGAAAAAGAATGTAAGCTATTTCAACATTTGGGTAAGGAATTCTAGGAACTGTTTATTTCCAGCACCTTCAAACTAAAATGTGAGGAGGGAGTGATTGGGGTGAGGCAGGGAGAGGTTTCATGGGTGGTCATGGTAGGGTGGAGCTGCATGATGACTCAGTAGAGCCCGCAGTGCCCTTCTGAACCCCCCCTCTCCCCAACACACACACACACACACACACACACACACACACACACACACACACACACACACACACACACACACACACACACACACACACACACACACACACACACACACACACGGCACCATACCCAGTCCAGTTCCCATGTCCCAGGCCAACCTCAGCCCCCGCCTCAGAGGGCCGTGACTCACTGCATCGAGGACTTCTCCTCCGCATGTCTCACATCAGACCGCAGCTGTGACCTGTCTGCTGTGAGACGCTCAATAATGCTAACATCCATCTGGTCAAGACACATGTTGGAGTCAGTCAGTGACGCTTAACTTTCTCCTGCAGTAGTGCTGTGGTTGACTTATTGAAAGTAGTTCATCTCATGTGCGGGATCTGGCTCATTGGTTAGTCAAAGTGTGGTTACCCTGTCATTGTTTTGTTACCGGTTCATTCTGCTTTTTCAGTTCCTCCTAATTCTCCAACATAGATGACGTTAAACATTTGGAAAAGGGATGCCCCCAATGTGTTCAATTATACTCTGTTGTGCCATTTGAGTATTGATATGTCCACAGACCAGTGTTTCCGCCAGACCAGGGCTGGGGGGACGGGGGGGGATTGCGGTTGTGTGACGTCACGTCGTGTCACGTGACTTGAATTTTGAATTGAGCCGTCCCTTATAGATACTATCTCTTTTACTGATGGGAATTCTGGCTCTTTTTAGTGAGCCGGATCATTTGGCTCCTAAACAGCTCTTCATGTTACCACAGTTTACCACAGTTCACGCACGTGCTCCACTAGCACCCCCCGTCAAGGCAGACAGTACACTTTCCGTCACAGGAACACACTTTGCTGGCGGCGAAAAGAATCCCACCAGACTGCTTCGCCCCTCCAACAGAGGGATGTCCTTGTCCTTTTTCCTTTTCCTCATTTCAAGCGATAAAAACTCGATCTTCTCTCGAATTATAAACATTTTTGGATGCCCTCGGCTCGAGTTCAGGGCGCTCCGAACTGAATAAGAGCGTCAAATGACGGCAAGACGCGCCCCTGGCGGAAACGCTGAAGCAGACTGACTTTCACCTTTCTTCTGTTCCGGTCTCCCTAGGCGGTCTTCTCCTCTGTTTTCTACTTTGCTTCAGTCCCTCTCTATCAAGGATTCCTGATTATTGGGTGAGAAACAAACTCTGTAAGGCAGTGATTTATTATTAAAACATTTGGCTCCCATGTCTCCCTGGCATTTCCTCAGTGATAAAGCACTGTTGAAATGCGAGAAGGGAAAAATAGTTGCACTAAATCCAACTATGATGTTTGTGCAACTTGTTGAATATGCACCATTATATCTGGGGAATATCCCTCACACAATGTTTTGTCTCTTTCAGCTACTCCACGATCTACACCATGTTCCCCGTGTTCTCCCTGGTGTTGGACAAAGATGTCAAGTCAGAGGTGGCCATGTTGTACCCTGAGTTATACAAAGATCTCTTAAAGGTATTCTATACATGAAAACAGACGGACTTCCACAATGCAGCCAAACACAACATAACAAAATATATGTAAAAGGCAAATTATGATGTTTAATATATTCTATTCCTCCCACAGGGCCGACCACTATCTTTCAAGACCTTTCTAACATGGGTACTAATAAGTATCTATCAAGGTAAGGAAGAGTTTAGTTCAACTTGCTGATAATCACAGTCAATAAAAACTCAGCAATATCGTTACAATATTTTCGTATTCGGTGAAAAGGTTTCAAAAATGGATGTTGTTCACATATCCCAACCCCACATGAGGACATGTGCTTGGGGAAAAGAATATTGATAAATGGTTAAATCTTCACCAAGGCAATATTTAGAGAAAGATATTGTATTTTAATTGATTTCATGAACTGATTGGAGGGTTTAGGAAACACAAAACTTGATATATTTTATATTTTTGTCTCTTCTGATAGCTGTTTTTTGCCTTTTGTAGCATCATTTTGATTCTGCAGTATAGTATTTTATTCATACTTCCCTCACTCTTTTTTAAGAAAACTCCTGTCCATGCACAAAAAGTTGATAAATCAATTTAGCGAAAATGAAGGCTATTAAAAAGTATTAAAGGGCATTTTCCAAGGTATTACATTTTGTAGCTTGTTTTCAATAAGTATATCAATTGTCCAAAGAGGTTGTATTCTACAGTCTGCCTGAATGTAATCATTGCGTAGGTGTGTAGTGTGATTCTGTGTAGTTTATTTATGGCATCCCGTTGGATGTGACGTCATCTGAACAGGACATCGCACGCTCACTGCTTGATAGCGCGCGAAGGTCCGTTTACGCCGGTTGTTAAACAACATCGTTATGGGGAAATGCAAGTCTGCGTCCAAATGGTTGGAAGATAAGGAGGAAGGACAATCAATACTGTATATAGTAAATGTGAGGTAAAGTGTGTCGCCAAGGTAACCGGTTAAAACTCCAAGTGGCGATGAGGTCTTAAAATGTATGGAAAGGGTCTTAAAAGAGGTCTTAAAAGGTATTACATTTGACTTCAGGATTCCTGCATATACCCTGATGCAGCACGTCGGCCTCATGTTCAGCCTGTCCCCTGTTTCCTCTCCACAGGGAGCATCATCATGTACGGAGCGCTGCTGCTCTTCGACTCTGAGTTCCTGCACATCGTCTCCATCTCCTTCACCTCTCTGATCCTGACGGAGCTGCTGATGGTGGCGCTCACCATCCAGACGTGGCACTGGCTCATGATCGTGGGCGAGCTCCTCAGCTTGTCCTGCTACATCGCCTCGCTCGTCTTCTTGCCCAGCCTCATAGGTGAGAGAGCACCAACACTCGCACATTAACTGCTACTTCCCTCACACAGAATGCAGTGGGGGTTTTTATCGAGACGAGAAATAAATAGCATTCATGTTATTGTGCTTTTGCCGACCTTGAAATGGTGCGTCAGCAGTAAGGTGGACGTGCCTATTCACATCACGCCTCTGGTGTACAGTTAGTGGTGGCATGCTGGATATGAGGAAGGTTAAAGGTGCATTGACAAAGTGTGTGAGTGTGGACTGAGCTCAGGCATGCCGTCGTATCAAACAGGAAGTGCCAACAGTGCTGTGAGCTTCCTGAACCACCAGTGTGTTTATCTCTTTACTTAGGAAACTAGGAAATTACAAAAATAAAACCCTAGAAATGTTCTTATAGCAATTAGACGACTGAAACATAAACAACCTTTAAAAGCAGATTGTTGTTGGGGTTTCTGTATAACGGCCCGTGCCATTATGAGACCCGTGACATATCCAATACCCTGACCAGGAGCTTCCCAAACCTTTATTTTCAGCTTTATGTGAGGCGTGGAGTTTTATTCTCAGCATTCAATCTCCACCACTGAGCATCATGACTGGCATGTGGTCAAGAGAACCCTTTCTGGACACTTTTCCTCCCTCTTGAAGTCAGACAGGAATAGAATGTAAAGGTTATTTTCTGTCGTGTGTGTGGTGTTTACGCAACTTTAATTGCACTTTTTGCAAACAAAAAAAGTAAAAACTGTATAGGTTGAGTTTTCTGTCTCATGCCTTCAACAATTGTTTCTTCGTTTCAACATCAGATTCACTGTTCACTCACTTTTAACCTGCTGTATGCCAGAGCTCTTGAAGCTGTGTGTCGAGTAGGGCTGCACGATTTGGAGAAATAATCGAATTGCGATATATATTTTTTTAAGCGACCCAACGGAAGTTTATTGTAAAATGCAGCCATGTCTCCGGCTAGGAAGGTCGTATCAACGTGCTCCCGTCTCTAGCACCCCCGCAGCCCGAGCTACGAGTGAAAGAACTAAACTTACATGAAACTTCTGTTGGGTTGCTTTAAAGTCAAGCTTCAGTTTAAGGTTCACCCTGTAATAGAAACATGTGATGGAGCATTACTAACCTGACTCAGATGCTTTGTTTCTCCATTGGAAGCCATTTGGAAAAGAGCAGGCACTTTCAAAAATACTTGGCAGGTGATTGGATCAATCTGTCTATCACCTTCTATCATGGGCCACTTCTGATTGGTTAACAATGGCTGGTACATGTGGAGCACAGCACTTCTGATTGGTGTGGATGACTGACACACAAGAAGAAAAAAAAAAAATAATAATAGGCTTTGCGATTTGATAATTGCATCATTTCAAATCGCGATTTCGATTTAAAATCGATGAATCGTTCACCCCTAGTGTATAGTTGAAAGAAAGGCGTGGCCTAGGAGATGAGATGTAATGGTGAGGTGAAACAGAAAGGTGAATGCCGGTGTTGAAATCAGTAAAAAGGACATTTGTTATTGTAGATAAGACACTCATTTGCCGCCATTTATGCCAACGTCCTTTTCTTACTCCGTTATATCTGATCAAAAACTCAAGAATGAGTTTAATGAGGCATGCTTTTAATGGTGCCCATTATCCAAAATGTTAACAAATACACGATAACATAGAGAACTTTTTCCTATCAACATTATCATTTTACGTTACAGTGCCCAAACTATGAGAACGATAGGCATGATTATCCTAAAATCGAAAAAGGGGGAAGTTGTCTCAACTCTCTTTGTGGTGCCCCAAAGTGATTTACTAAAATGTACATGACTTGAAGAAATAAGTAGAGCTTAGCTGCAGATTTGATTATACTGTTGACTTTCAAAATACATAATGAAAAGGTTAAATTACTCTTCAATGTGTGGTTGTAGAATCCTGCTCTTTCTGATCTCTCCCTCTTCCTCAAGAAGTCAACTCAAAATTCACCTAAAGTATGATTATCCAAAAATCGACACAAAGTGACCCAAAATGGATCATTTAAGAAGGCTTGAGTCGAGCTTAGCTACAGATATGATTAAACTGTCGACTTCCAAAACAAATAATAACATTTGAATGCCTCGTTTGAAAAATCCTACAACTCTCTTTCTGATCTCTGCCCCTCCAGACATTTACTTCATCACCACGGTGTCGTTCCTGTGGAAGGTGACGGTGATCACGCTGGTGAGCTGTCTGCCTCTCTACATCCTGAAGTACCTGCGCAGACGCTTCTCCCCCCCAAACTACTCCAAGCTGAGCACCTAAAGAGTGGGAGGAGCCTCACTTACTGCGGGGAAACAGAGGGGCCTGCGCTTAGACCCGGGGATCAAACACGGATTCATCCCCTTTCATTTGTCCTGAAATTCCTACTTGGAAATGAGAAAGACGGGACAATTTTGTCAGGGGTGCTACTGAGGGGGAGAGTTTTTAGGCTAAAATGCTACTTGCTGCACGTGTTTGATGCAAAGACTAATGATTCCTCTGTGTGGAGAAGACTTGCAGTGAACTGGAGGAAGAGTTAGTTTGACCCACTTATTTATTCGTCCTAGAATTATGAGCATAAAAACTGTCCTGAACAGAAATGTAAATATGTAATGTAAAAATAACTAAGGCACAGAGTCAGTTCAGTAAATTATGCACATCCTGTTTATTTAAAAATATCAGAAATCATATCAAAGGGAAGTAACTGGAAAGTTGGACGTCTCCCCTGTTTCTGTGTATGTGTCATTCGGGCTGGAAACTAACTCTTTTCCATTTCCATCCAAAATAGTCGAACCACATTTATTGTTAGACACTGAAACTGACGTAGCATTCTCACTCAGGACCTGATTCACACTCTCCTCAACACTGATTTCTCATTATATGATACAAAAAAAGTGACTAGACTTTGCATAGAACACAGGCCTGTGAGTTTGTGTTTATTTGTTTATGCGTCAGCGCGACACAGCCGGAGGTGGTGCGGTCGTTTCTTTTAGCATGACCCGTGATGTTAAATCTGTCTCTGTGTGTTCGGACCCCGAGATGTTGGTGTGTGTGTGTGTGTGTGTGTGTGTGTGGAGCGCGGTGAGAGCAACCACAGAGGAGAGGCCCTTATGTGCAGCTCCCGTCAGGCGGTGTGTGTGTGTGTGTGTACGTGTGTGTGTGTACGTGTGTGTGTGTGTGTGCAGCCTTTGAAGTGGTGGGCCACACTTTAACTTTGCATGATGACTCACTGTACCGGTGACCTCCTGAAGCCATAACTGAAAACACCCGGTGACCCCCCCCCCTCACTCCTCACTGCTACTAACCTCCACAGTTCAGCTGTGAAAGAAAAAAGGGATTGAATCACCTCTCCTCAGTTAAAACAACTCAAGTGTTAATAAGTATTACTACTGCACAGTGGGAGAGAATACGATACACACTCCTCATATTTCATTTGAATGGTGGTTTGATTGAAGAGATACTGTAAATAATCGGCAACTAACAGAAAACCATGAGTACGATGTCACTTAAATTACTTTCAAATGATTTAGATTGAGCTGTAAAAAAAAGTCTGATGTGACTTGATGAATTTGAAAGTGTCGAACAGAGCGTGCCATGAATAATACCGTCTGTAAAATGTTCAAGAAAAGTTTTATCTCTGATTTCAGCGAGCTGTTTGCACAGACTTTTCTTTTGTACTACTGATTTATTATATTTTTATGTTGGCAAAACAAAAATGAAGCTAAAAGAATTTGGTTGCTTGTAAATAACAATAATTGTTTTTTTAATGTATTAACATGTTTTATTTAATGGTGTTGATTGCACTAAAATGAGCAGAACAAAAAGGGAGAACTGTGTCAATGTTGTGATGATTAATAATAAATCTCATGTTTTCTTTACTTCTGCCATTTCTTTTGTCGTCTCTGTGACCATTTGAACAGTTTCCGAACAACTTAAAGAATAAGGATGGTTTGAGTTTATATTTTTTATGGTGTCAACAAAAATCAGGAGTATGCAATGTTCTTTTAAATATGTGTTGATGTTCTCTCAGTGCCATGCCTATTAATGAAAGAAGAGTGGAGCTGACTGACTGGTGCATTTAGGAGCTTCTAAGCCCCCTTTAAACGCTAAGTAGATCCTTAAATAGATGGGTAATGTAGTTTTTACAGAACCAGGATAACAAATTGCATCGTTTGGGGACTACTTTCAGCGGCGGATGAATCCAAAATTGGTTCTTTAAGAGTAAATGTATCTGGGATTGACGTCTCAGTATGATCACATGGTTTTATGGGATTTGCATTATGAGATTGTTTTGGGCACTTAGACGTCATTTGGTAAAGCACATAGCCACAAAATGTAATAATGTGGCTAAATGACATTTTTGCAAATGATAAAATACTTTAATATAACCTAAAGGGGCTTTGTGGCCCCTTTTCCCATGACATTACACATAACTGGAAACTGCATTTGGACTGAGAGACTGATCCACAGTTGGTATGCAGAAACAATTAAGAGTTGTTGTGGCTGAGCTCCTCTGCAGCCCAGCTTCTGATGAGGTGTGATTTACACAGAACACTGAGAGGGCTGGGTGTTCGGCCCGGAGTCGCCAGAGGAGGGAGTCCCTGAGGCCGGAGCTGTGTTTCCACTCCTCGCAGACACACGCATCATAATGTCAGACAGACTCAACCTTTATCTCTTAATATAATTATAAATCAAAAAGAAAAGTCATATATAGTATGAGACTTCATGAGAAATCACTCCACAGGAAACATTCCTATATTTCCCTTTAATTTAAACTGTAATTTCCATGCCTAGTAGAAGTTGTGCTTTTTGAAGAATGTTTTCCATAAGCATATAAGTACAAAAATACAATAGTTTAAAGGTAGGGTAGGTAAGTTTGAGAAACAGGCTCGAGATCGCTCGAATTTGAAAATACACAACCGGAGAAAATCTGCCACTTCCTTACAGAGCCCCTCCTCCAACACACACGAACGCGCACATGACCAATGAGGGCACGAGATAAGTTTGTGCACAGATGGAAGGCTGACAGGCAGGTAGGCCATCCAGTTATTTTAGCCGGGCCGGCTAAAATGATTGGTCGTGCTTTTTACAGTATTACGGCTTCCACAGATGACATTTTTTTATGGATTTTTTGTCAAAGCACTTTCATGGAATATAACAAAAAGTGTATCTCAAGCCGGTTTCTCAAACTTACCTACCCTACCTTTAAGTGTAATAATCTCCTGTTCCCGAATGTTCACATACAAATTATTCAAAAAGTAAATTAACACAAACGAATTTGACTTCATTACAAATTAACAACCACTCCACAGAAAACTTTTTTTTTTAATATGGTATTCTACGTTGGCCAACAGGGGCAAACACATTACTACGGCTCAAAACACTAACATGACACGTGCTGCAGTTTAAAAAAAACTATGCAAAAATAAAAATCACCAATGTGCCAAACCACACAAAATGAAGAAACATCTTCACCAACTTCACAAAAAAGCCCAGCATTTACTAAAAGCGATGCAACACAAAACGCTGCAAGAAGTTTAAAACACAAATGGCAACGGGGACACTAAAAAGTGATGCACTCAGCTGGGACCGGAGCGCTTGTCGACGTGTTTTGTCAGTATATTTTAAATGACTATAGGTGTGCTAGCTAACCAATCATGTTTTTTTTCAAGTTGGTGAAAATGTTCCTTCATTTTGTGTTTTGGCACATTTGTGTGTTTTCGGCCATTGTAGCACGTTTGCACCTGTCAGCCACCGTACATGTCCACGCCGTGTTTCAAATGGTACTTTTTGAAGTTTGTGCTATAAGAATAGGAAGTAAAAAATGAAACGGTTTGAATGTAACATTACTAACATTAAACAAAATAAGGAATCAAAAAGCAAAGAGGTAGGTGACTTCAATAAATGTTAATAAATCACTAACCAAATACAAACCTTTTTTTATTATTTACTCTATGTAGTCTTGTTAGGAGCTTTATTAATTATCCTTGCACGTTATCAAAATGTTAAAGTTTACTTTAGCTCAGAGATGGTTTTAGTTGGACTAAATCCTCAGTCGTAAAATATTTTCCCTTTTTTTCCACTTGCAGCCAAGCACCTCAGGACTGCATGTTCAAATTAAATCTCCAGCGTAAGTCCAAGTTTGTTTTTTCTTGTTCCATTGCCCACATGCGTAAGTTATACCATTAAAAGAAACCATTTAACTTAATCAGTCCCATGAAAAGTGAAATTCCACTCCAGAGTCAACAGCGCTAACCTTAACATCCGCGCTCTTGCCTTCCTCTCGCTGCCAAATCCACAATCCAATCAGAGTTAGTTTTGAAATTTACTTTGCGTTTTACAAGGTTTGAATTTTCAGCCCTTTAACAAAACAGCTGTTATGTAACAAAACCAGGCTAATTATCACAAGGTCGGTGCATTTTATCTTTGGCACTTCAAGACAGGGATTAGTTTCCAGCCTGGAAACATCTTACACGCTGCTCCCAGTGGAACAGAGCAGAAAAAAGAGACACGTCCATGAATGAGCCGCAGAGTAAACCACAAACTGTCACACAGGCCTGACTGGAGCACTTCATAGAAATGGTTTTAAGTTACATTTTAATGCTCATTCTCAGGTTCATATTTGTATGTAGTGTCTCTACTGTGATGTGTCTCCTTGCTTTAATGTTCAAAAAGCTCTTTATTTTTCTCATACTGCCTGTGCTGCAGCACCTCTTTTCACCCTCTGTCTGAAACCAGAGCCCAGTCTGCTCTGATTGGTTAGCTGGCCGGCTCTGTTGTGATTGGTCAACCTTTTAGAGATGTCCCGCCCCTTAGCCTATCACGTACAATGTCTTTGAGCGCTAGACAATAGAAGTGTTACAGTGTGATGTCACTTTGTTGCAGAAGTTAACAAAGGAGTCCAATGGCGGTGTTTCAGGCAGGGGGGGGGGGGAGTGTGAGGAAGAGAAAAGTCATTTGTGATTTTAACCTTGGCAGACCATTTAAATGCATAAAAATCACACTACAGGAAAGGGAAAACCCCCAAAAAGCATTGTGGGCCCTCTTTAACATCAGCACTATAGTGGATAGATTTGTTTAAAAAACGGTTTAAAAGGACGTTTAGCCGTTAACTCAGGAATTAATTTGTTTTAATGATGAAGCATCATAATAAAATGTGGTTTTGTTTTATAATTTCTAATAAATAGACCGTCAGTGCTGCTGACAGGACTTTTCAGTCGGGCAGTGCTGGCATGTCGTTGTGCAATAAGGAATCGTATTTCCTTCCTGCCACAACTTGAGATCCATGGAAAACATTTTCCTTCTTTTTCCGATTTGTATAAATGAACTAATATGTTCCATCAACATGGAAACTGCATACATCCTCGCTGGGTGGAAACGCCTCGTTATGAAACCGGACCCTGATCGATACTCTAATGTGTGTTTAGAAAGAATTCAAGTTACTGGATCCAGTGGAAAAGTGGCGGACGACTACCTCATGGATTTTTCCTCTTGAGCAGTATAAAATCCCATGAAACAAAATAACCCCCCCCCTTTGTCGACACTTTTTTATGTCTTGTCCAGCTTTCCAATTCCATCCTACAATATATCATAACTTCAACGTCTCTCTGTATCGTGTATCAGCAGAACATGGATGCACAGAAGTCAACATTTGGTAGTCAAAACAAAGCCGTAAGAGAAACTCACTCTTCCCATTGCAACTGCATTCATAACAAGTGAATGCATCTCAGCTTTAACGATCACAATTAATCATTTTGGCTGCAGCAGTTAAAATTAATATCTTTAATCCGATCATTCTTGAAGTGATTTGGGTGGTTTCGGGGAGCATTAAGCGGTGTCATCAGAGATCATTGGGAGAGGCAGAGGAAACACATCTGCAGCTCTTCTTTAACAGTCATGGGTGCTAAGGCAAATCAAAGCATTCCTGACTCGCAGAGCTCTAAATAGATCGGGTGGAGGGTGTGTTCATGCTTTGAGATGTTTCTGTGTGGAGCAGAGATCCAGTGTTTACACAGAGCCATAACAGGGTGTAGTAAACAATTCATCTGAACTAACTTCATTATTCGGTGCCATCCATCATGGGTTTCTGTTATGTTAGCATTCAAGTAGACAAGTTTAATGTGGCGTGTAATCCTAGGAGGATATGTGTGACCTCGTGATGAAGCTGTGACTACGGATCCCACATGGAAATCATTTATATTAAGCATTGGTGGAAAAGAATAAAGTTCTTTTACTCAAGTACTGAATTAGAGTCCAATTTTGAGGTTCTTTATGAGTATTTTCATTTAATGCTACCTTAAACTCCCACTCACTCCACTTCATTTTAGAAGCCAATATTGTACTTTTTACACTTATTGAACTGCTTTAGTTATTTTAGAGAATCTGATTATTATCTAGTGAAACATATTAAACTAATGGTTAAGATATCCAGCAGTAAATAACGTCATGAAAAAAAGCTCCACAATAACCCGCTGAGACGAAGTAATACTTCAATAATCATAATCCAGTCATTTACATTTTTTACATTTGGAGAAATTAGCTTTTTAAATTAAAGTGGACCTATCATGCTATATTTTAATAATATAGTGTAGGAAAATACCTATATAAGGCATATTTATACTTTCTTTTTTTCAAAATACCAAACAGATCATGCATTTTAGCCATGCCTCATTTTGCTCAATTTGCACTTGTTTTTGCAAGGGCTGATTCTGTGAGAACAGCACCACCTACAGGCCTGGCATATGTACTACAGCGTCTCCAGCGCTTTCGAACGGCAATGGCCGTGGCTGTCTCCTCCTGATTGGTGGAGTTGGCCCAATAGCCGTAGCGCCACCGTCCTGACGTCAGGACAGGGTTCAAATCTGGATCAGTTTTTATCAGATCCGTTGCAGCCCCTTTTTTAGAGATTTGGGTATGGAGGGAAATAGAGAGGGTTGTGTTTTCTGACACTTGGTGAGTTCCCTGGAACACCGGGGACACATGTTCATGTATAAAAGACGTACAAAAGTGCATTTTGCATGATAGGTCCCCTTTAAAGAGGACATATTAATACTGATCTTCAGGTTCATATTTGTGTTGTGTGTCTCTTCTGTGACATGTCTCCATGCTTTAATGTTCAAAAAGCTCTTTATTTTTCTCAAACTGTCTGTTCTGCAGCGCCTCTTTTCACCCTCTGTCTGAAACCAGAGCCCAGTCTGCTCTGATTGGTTAGCTGGCCGGCTCTGTTGTGATTGGTCAACCGCTTAGAGATATCCCGACCCTTAGCCTATCACGTACAATGTGTTGGAGCGCTAAACAATAGAGGCCGAGTGCTACATAGTGATGTCACTATGATCAGGAAGTAAACAAAGGAGTCCAATGGAGGTGTTTCAGGTGGGGAGTGTGTGGGAGAGAAACACAGGGATTTTAGCCTTTGTAGACCATTTACATGCACTAAAACCTATAGAACATGCAACAGGAAAGGGAAACTCCCCAAAAAGCACAATAGGGCCCCTTTAAAAACCATTGTATGCAGTCTAATTATGAAAATATGTTTGACCCCAATTGGTTGTGACAGAGTGGAAAACTGTCCAGGATTGCCCTGCTGTTCACCCAGAGCATGCTGGGACATCATCCAGCCATCTGAGACTCTGAAAGGGATAAGCATAATAGAAAATGTATGCATGCTTTAATCCAAATGTTGTCACAACCTACAAAAAAAAAAGAAGCTTAATCAGAGTTGATGCAAAGGAGAAAAGTAAACTGTTCCTGGCCTTTAAGAGAGCAGATCAAAGACCCAAAGGGAGGCAAAAGTCCACGCTTCCCTTTGCCCCCTGAACCTCCTCGGAATCATTTCCATGAGGTTGCGATGAGACACGATACAATGAACCCTTTCCATATCAAAGTTCCACTGCTCGGATTTAAAAGCTCCATCACACCCGTTACTCTTGGAAAAGTGAAGCAGGGCAGTGCTCTAACCCAGACAACCCTACCTTAATGAGCTGTTTAACAGTGGTGGAAAATACTGCATGAACTTGGAAAAAGTGTGCTTTGATCGAAAAATGAAGAAGACGGAAGTGCAAACTCGGCCGTCTGGACACAGGGCGGTTTTCCCTTCTGGAGCTTGTGCCGTGTTCATTTACTCATTCATAATTTGGGTTGCATAAGAGCTCCGTAACAGTGGAGGAATTTACATCTGGTACACAAGGCTGCTGGATAGTAACCCCCCAAAACTAAGGCTATGACCGCCGCAGGTTTTACAGACTCATTGCAGTCACCTAATCCATGTCTCAATCCAAAACAGACCCTCTGATTACCCCCCCCTCCTCCTTTCTGTAGTACACAGATTTTCCTATGAATGGCCTTCAGTCTGACATGTCTGATGTAAGCATGGGATCACTCACTGAGGCTATGCACAAGGTTCCCCACATCAAATGCGATAAAGATGTTTGTCCTGATGTTCAATGGAGTTGTAAAAAATTGCTGGATGATGTGTTCTGCCATACGTCAGGGATACAAAAAGTATCTTTAATGACGTCAGACGAAATACTGGGCCAGATTAAAACCATTTGTATTCGTTTGCATGCCCAGAAGTATTTTTAATAGTACTAAACAAACCTTTTTTGGACCACTTTACACATTTCAACACCATGTTACAATATGTATGTCGTCCACAGCAGCTACATAGGCAATTACACCATGTTTAAATATGATAACATAAAATGAATACCTATGGGGCGGCTGTGGTTCACGAGGTAAATGTCTTCCACCAATGCAGCCCTGCAGTCAACATGTCGATGTGTCCTTGGGCAAGATACTTAACCCCAGGTTGCTCCCTATGGCCAAAGGTGTGTGTGTGAGTGTGTGTGAATGTTAGTTTACCACCTTGTATGGCAGCCTCTGCGTCTGTATGAATGTGTGTGAATGGGTAAATGCTGACTTATATATGTAAAGTGCTTTGAGGGTTCTCAAAGACTGGAAAAGTACCGTATAAATCAGTCGATTCACCTTAGATGAATTACGAAGAGCTATAGCCAAATCATATTGTACAAATAGTTTATAAGGGTACAGCAGCATTGCTTAAAGTTATTTTTAGCTTAAAGGTCCCCTATTATACTGTTTTTCATCAATATATTATAGGTCTCAGATATATACAAACATGTCTCTGAAGTGTTTGGCTCCAAACACCAAACAGATCATTGCAGCATCCCATAATCCCCTCTGTTTCAGCCCTGTTTCAAAAGTGCTGATTCTTTGTCTGTTACTTTAGATGAAAATAAGGAGCCCCTCCCCACGCCCCTCTGAGAGATATTTGGTTAAAAAGAACACAATGGTGCTCTAGGAGGAGATTCAGGTGATAAGCGGGGGGGGGGGGGTTACCTTGGTTGGTGATTGGCTAATGGTTACACAAGCCAACACATCATTATGACATTACAGAGTGGCCAAAATCTGATCAGCTCATTTTCAGACAGGTTTTTATATAAATGGATCAGGACAAAAAGTGAGAGAATCTTTTTTCCTGAAACGTTCAGAATCTCTTTCCACAGAGGGGACACGTGTTGATGTATAGAAGACATGAAAAAGTGGATTTTGCATAATAAGTGACCTTTAAGCTGACTGGATTCATCTCTATTTAGGAGTTTGTGTGACCTTTGGGAGTTTTCTTTTAAACACCCCAATGTGTTACAGATAAAAAAAACTCTAACCTGGCCTTAACTGCATGTGTACTGCATATATCACCTATATCCCAATAAACAAATAAAAAACTGTTCAAACCTTCTTCATGGTTTTTAGAAAGCCTCATCCATGTGCTATGCTGAGTAAGGGGACATCTTAAAAGCTAAGCGGAAATTGGAAAGGTTTATCTCAGTTTGAACATGTTAAAAAGGGGAAACCGTTTTGCTGAATCCAATCACATGTTTCTTTTCATTTTTCTTTTATATATTGGAACCCGCACTTCAAGCCCAGCTCTGCACTAAAAGCACAGAGCAGGCATGAAATCATGGCACAGAAACAGAAATGTATAGTTTAACTTGGCTCCTCTGACGGACTTATTCTACAGCTTCCTCTCCTGGGCAATATGTGAGGTTGTTAATGTTAAAACAACTCCTACCAGCCCTACACCACCTATTACTCGACACAAACCAATGTATTCAGGATAGATATTTAGCTGTGCATTATCGACTCCCTGAAAACATATTAATGTATTCATGTGATTGTAAAACTGCGGCAGTTTCAAAGCTAGACTGAACAAACTTTTCTTAATGAAACAAAGACCCGTCGCTGCTAGTCGAGCATTTCTTATAATATGGCAAGTGCTGGATTATTAAAAGTGATAGAAACTACAAGTTATTCCTACAAAGGTCAATTAGTTGTGGGTTTAAACCTCAATAAACGAGACATGGCTGGCCCTTTTCCCAGCTAATTCTTGATGAAGTGACACAGCTATTAATACACTCGACGGCACATAAACTGAGAAATTAGTCATATTGGATTTACTAACATATTGTTTGCCAACACTGGAGTAAGGTCATTGTTGGATTAAAAGCGGCATTAGACAGTTCCCCATGACATGTTGAACTAGAAATATCCCTCTTACTGTTATGTAAAAGATGTGCTTGGTTAAAGAAGTGAAGAATGGTTTAAAGTGTGTATGTTTCGTTGACCTGAGTGACACACCCTCCACATCACCAGCAACTAATGAAGTTTTGTGTGGAAATGAAAAAGTGAGTCAATACTTTTCAACAGGAAACTTCTTTAAAAGGCTTAACAAATATCAAAATGCTGTTTTTCCATGGATGCTACTTTATGTAACTTGTATTGCAATGCAGAATGTATTCCTGATGGCTGCTGGGGTCAGTCTTGTTCTGTCTTTTTTTCCAGTCAGAAGATGCTGCAAATTTCCATTAGGAAATGGAAATGGAGAGCAGCTTCTTCCCTCAATGGGAACAATGGAATTCTCTATATTCCATGTTCAACACAAACCACAGCGTCTTAAATTACTATAAACACAGAAACATGTAAAAGCTGTCTGCTTTAAAGTCATTTACAAATCTGAACTAGACAGAAAAGTCTTATAAACCGTGTTAAGTACATTTCATAGTGTACCCCGTACTCAAACATGAAACTATTTCTTTTTTTTCTCCCTCTCTCCTACAGTGTCCTACAGTAATTTCTTCATCTCCACAATGAAGTTCTTGTGTGCTACTGTCTGAGAGAAGCCGCAGAAATGCTTTGGCGCAGGAGCTGGAGACGTCATGGATTCCTGAGTGTGTGGCTTTGCAGGAAAGCCCTGAGTCTCCGACATGGACCGGCTCCAGGTTTCCATGGCAAAGGCGCACAAACAGGAGGAAACACTGAGGGAATCCCGTTATTTTACAGCATTGAAGCATTATAAACACCCAGAGCGGGGAAGGAAGCCGCTCTTGATACACAAGTAATCCTTATAGAGCTCTAGGAAGGGGGACTTCATACCAGAAGCGCTGCTGTGGCTGCTGGGGCTGCGTGTTTCTCCAAAAGAAAAGGACATTTGCGCACAGCTGCTGTGTCGCAGCTTGAACTTTTTTAACACTTACAGAGGTTTTTCATCGACCTTCTTTCAACATCTTTTTTTAAACTGAAGAGAGCTACTTCTGCTTTGACTTTCAGCGGAAAGTATTTTTCCTTTTTATTTATTTTTTCGCTTTTTCTCCCAGATGTTTAGAGAGACTTGGAGGCTGGCACAGTACCACACCATGAGGTCGATGGATCAAGGTACTGCTGAAGTGTTGTGATTATCTGGTAATCAAACAATTTGATTTTTAATTGATAGAGTATCCCTGGAGTGTGTTATCTGCGATGATACGAGCTGTAATGTCATGTGTGAGGGATCTGTGTAACTGTTCATAGATACATGGGATGTTGATATTTGGGGAGAGAAGCTGCCGCGCGTTGGTGCGTGGGCATCCCCGGGAAACACCGAGATGCTGGAGGGGGGAGATACCAGAAGCATAATGGTAGTTATTAATATGGAAATAACTTTATTTTATCAGAGTAAAAGAGAAAGGCACTTTGGATATGGATGCAAAAAGACGTTTAATATAGACATGATGTCAACATTTAGAGTAAAAGATGACATGGGTTTGTAATAGGAAAACAAAAAGTCACATTTAAAGTCACCTGGGTGTGAGTATTATGTAACATTACATTTCGGTCCGCTTATGATTTTACTGTCTAAGAAGGTATTGGCCAAGGTTTAAAACTCTATAAGAATAATAACGGTGCAAAATATAAATCCAGGTTGTCTCTTAAAATTAAAAGAGTAAAAGTGCTTTCATTATTTTTAAGATGTATATCCTGTCCGATATGTTTTCTTCTGGTTTGCCACACGATTTCCATACTTCACCATTAAATCCCCAAAATGTAAATTTATTATTGGAGTTTAGTACGTCTGTATATTTTGCTGACTGAGCATGTATGCTACTCAAAGAGGAAGAAACGCCCTGGTGTGTGCTGCGTCGTGCGTAAAACTGGGGATTCCCTCAGGAGTGCATTTTTTTTATGAAGTGCAAAAAAAGTATCCACACGTTAACCGGTAAATATCATGAAATCCAATCCAGTCAGGGAACCTGGTTAATCCACCCAAGTACCCGTGTAAACTCACCTGAATCTCAACCCAGTTTGAATGGATGGTTGTAGGTCAGGTGATCCCTGCTGTGTCACTATCACGTGTCAGACACCCGGGGGCAGCACAGCCTGTCAAACCTCACAGGGATAACTTTGAACGGTGCTGGCAATTCATCTCCGCCAAGCTGTGTGTTTACTCTTCCTCGACGCATCAAAGCAGAGGCGTGATCAGACACACAGATGAACCCGACAACTCTGCACTGAGTGTGAAAACAGATCCGCCTTCATCTGAAAATAACGCGGCAGAAACAGGAAACCTGAACGCCTCACCTCCTGCAGGCTCACCGATGCATCATTTGACACTTGAACAGGTTCCCCAAACCCACCTCAGCGCTACACCTCCAACTTTGTCGCTTCGCCTGAACTCTGAGGAGTCGTGAGGAAAACACTGAGACAGATGACCTCTTTTTACGACGAGAAAGACTTGGAGGAAGATCTCAGTCGAGTGAACTGTCCTGATGAGGATTTGGAGTTTGAGTACTTGTTTGAATATGAACCACCTTGCAGCGACTTTGCTGCGGGAGATCAAGGTTTGTCCGGGGCTTTTTGTTGACAATCACTCCTTAATCTGTCTTGGTTATTCGAGACTCATAATGAATGTGTGGCCTGAGGCTTATTCATGTGGCTAAAAATAAAAACAGGAAGTACATTTGACAGTCTACTGGGTAATGGTTCGCAGAAAATGTCAACATGAAGAGTTTGTTTCAGCTGAAGAATGTGTGTGTTTTTCTTTCAAAAGTTAAAATAACACGATCTTTGTCAACAGGTGAAGTTGTCTGTGTGGTTCAAAAAGCTTCACTTGTGTTGAAATGATTGAGAAACATTGCTGTATTGGAAAATGGGAAATATATCTGCAACACTGACGATTTGCAAACATGTGGTTTGTAACGATTTCCCCTCTTACCTCCCCTGCAGATGACCCCAACCTCACACCTCACAAAATCTTCAATCCTGAGTCTGAGCAGGTGTACCCCCTGCAGGAGGCCTCGCCGTACGGCCTCAAGTCCTGCAGCCCCTCCTACATCGACCACAACATCACAGAGGTTCTCTCGGGATATGAGAACCAGGAGGCCCGACACTACCTGGACAGCACCCGGCCTGCAGGCCTGGCCCTGAGCCCCCGCATCGAGATCACCCCGTCCCGCGAGCACTACAACTATGTCCGGGATTCCCTGCAGAACCAGAACCTGAACATCAGCCCCCGACCCACCCTCACCGTGCCGGGCCATGACAGCCTCACCTACCGAGAGCCTCAGTGCCTGAGTCCCGCTAGCAGCAACTCCTCCACCAGCTGGCACTCTGAGAGCTACTCCCCCTGGACGTCCCCCTGTGTGTCCCCCAGCAGCGGCCAGAACCCCGGAGACCTGTGCCCCAGATTACAGAACATCCACACTGGCTCCCCCCGTACCTCCCCGGGAACCTCGCCCCGCACCAGCCTAGCGGAGGACGGCTGCCTGGGGGCCCGCTCGCCCTCCTCCAGACCCAGCTCCCGCTCCACCTCCCCGCAGGGCAAACGCACCTACGACATGTACAGGAACCCGGGCCTGGTCCTGGGGCACCGCTCCCGCAGCCCCTCTCCCCACAGCGGCCATGAAGATCACAACATAAGCGCCCACTATACACACAGCAGCCTGGCCGAGGCCATGAATGGTTTTGGCCCCGGTCAGCAAGGCCTCATGCCCACTAAAATAGTCAAGACGTCCAACCAGGTTTACACTCTGTACCCAGAGAACCACGCAGAAGGGAACTACCTGGTCTCCTGCGACCAGGACTTAAAAACCACAGAGCCTTTCTTTGTTATCCCCCCAATCTGGTCCAAGCCGCTGGTTTCCAGCATCCGCAGGTAAATCAGGATGAATGCCGGGTCAAAAGAAACATTCCCATCTTCCAAGCTGCATAACACTATTGATTTCCATGATTTATATTCTTTTTTGTATCCCTATTCTTTAGCATCCCTGTGGCTTCTCTCCCTCCTCTGGAATGGCCGATGCCCAGACGCACGGACCAGTATGAACTCCTCATCGAGGTGCAGCCCAAACCGCACCACAGGGCTCACTATGAGACGGAGGGAAGCAGGGGGGCGGTCAAAGCCCCCACAGGAGGACATACTGTTGTGCAGGTACGACCAAAAACTGGATTCAATGCATAAAAGTACTTGATATCCTTTATATATATATATATATATATATATATATATAAAGTGTTGAATGGCCATATGAAAGGATGCTGTGAGGCTTGTCCATTACATTACAGTAGCCTTCCAGTGTGTGAGCCTCAGGCAGCGCTGTGTAATGGTATTTCCACTCATTATGCACTCAGTGGTGGTGGTGCTATTGCCCAGGGCCAGCTGTATGAAAATGACTTTATGTGAGTTACTCTGGCTCATCTCATAACTCCTTTCCTATTTCAAAACTGTCTAAAACAAATCATACAGCACGCTCTCACCCCAGACATATGACACAATGTTAACCACCCAGTAGCCTCGTGAAAACCCTCACAACTGAACTCAGGTCAGTGAGCGACACAAGCTTTTTTTCTTCTGCTTTGCTGCTTAAAATAGTTTTCTGTTGTGCGCCCGCGCCCCCGCCCCCGCCCCCGCCCCTGTGTTTATTTTAACCACACAGACAGGTCTGTGTTCATGTTGTCCGTGACTTCCTCTTACACACTGGTTTGTTGACTGCGTGGGTCTCATATTAGGAAGCGGACTCAAAGTGTTGAAACACTCTCTCGACGCGTGTAAAAGCAAATGAATAGTGCCTGTGGTTAGGATAATTGTAGATCAGGAAATGTGCTAATATTACTCTCACAGTCACAACATTTAAAATTAAACACAGCATGTTGTACGCTGCATGGTCCAAGAATAGGTTCTCTGTGTTACTGTGGCTGTTTTGTTGGATATAGTTAAGACATGGGGGAATAGAAGCTTCTCCTGCATCTTTTCCATTTTCTGTCCATCCCAAAAGCCTCACCCTGAGGTCAGTTCTGCCCGGTTTGCCCGGCCAATCAGATGGTCAGGCTTGAGTAGCCACGGCCGCCCTCCTCCACCTCATCTTTCCCTTCCTCCTCTCCTCCTTCACTCCTTATGTTTTTCCTTCTTCATCCCTCTTTCTCGCTCTGAGCCCCGTACCCTCCACTTTACTTTTCCTACGCTGCTTTCTGTCATGACTCACTGCTCCTGCACTGCCATGACAACGGGCCGACTGCTCACATGGCCTGTTGAGTGTTTGCAGGCAGCTTCCTCTCTCTGTGTGTGTGTGTGTGTGTGTGTCTGTGTCTGTGTGTGTGTGTGTGTGTGTGTGCTACCTGGATATGGAGCCACATGCTCATTCATGTTGCCATAGTTCCTGCTCACATCCAGCAGCTGCTGTGAAGCCTGTCAGCTACATCCACTCAGATAATCATTTCTGAAATGTGATTGATGTACACGCTGTTTGTAGTTTTTCTAACTACATTAAAGCAACATAATGTAGATTTCAGTACTTTTGTGGTTTAGTGCCCTCAAAGTTATAGATTGCTAATCTCTTATACACATCTTTCGTAAATATGGAAAGCATCTGTTAAGATTACATTACTTATATTTCAAAAACCGCAACGACGTTGATAAAATAGCAACATTTTTAGCATGTGCAACAAGACAAGACATTGCAAGTTAGCTCAAATTGCTAACCTGGTTCAAAAGCTTGCCCACCTGGCTCTGGTTCATACAGGCCTGAAACCACCCCCCCCCCCACAATTTATTGCCACTGTCCTAGCGATGTAAAGATTAATAAACACCAACACTCACCTGGTGCTCTTCCAGTCTTAGCATAACGGCTAACTGGGCTAACTGAGCTAACTAGCCGATAGCGGCTTCTGTTAGCTGCAGTTTGCGGTTACTGTACTTTAGCAACAAGTAGAGCTTTCTGACCATCAGGAACCTCTGTAAATAAGACATTTGAGGTAGAGAAGCCGAAATACATCAGAGAGAAGACCAGACACTTTTATTTCTATAAAATATGAGCTTGTTACAGCAAATATCAACTTAGTACCATAAAGTGTTACGTAATTTGACATAGCACAAGATCAAGCGTTTGGAATATTTTAAATCTGTTATTTAAGGTAAAATTGTGCTGCTTTTAAAACAAGCAGTCTTAATGGGATTAATAGAATAAAATGGCAAATGAAGTAGACTTACATTTAAATAACCTGTGCTTACTGCAGCAACCTTTTCTATATTTAGAATACACCTCTTAAAAAAAATAGTTCCCTGTTGTGTTTGTGCCACACTTCTGCAACCAGTTGAGGGTTATATTCAGTGATAAAGGTTATGCGCTACACTGTTTGCACAAAAACCAGCATTTAGATGCAAGCTGATGCTTTGTGGTTTTTGCAGGTTTCCTCAGGTGGCACTTTCAGGTTAAAAGTAACATCTCTCTCACCTCCTATCTGGCTCTATATCTATCACCAGCTCACAGCTTCACCTATCTGATTATTTTAATACTAAATGTGTTTTTCAGGTTGAATGATCAGGACCCCTGCTAAATACTTTACTCAGTTAGGAAAGTACTAGATCACAAGGATATATGAAGTGGCTCTCTGCTGGTTCCTCTTCAAGGCTGCAGAAAGGAGACTCGTGCTTTTCCACGTGGGTCTGACACTGATTAGCCACCTCTGGGGAAACAACATGTGGAAAGCAAGAGTTGGAACACAGCCAGTTTAAAGCAACTTGAACATTTCCTTCGTACTGTATCTCTGTTTCATCGCCTTGTAGCGGACGCTTTTTAGTGATTTATGATTGTTTTTAATGTCTGCAGTTACATGGCTACAGAGGCAAGGAGCCACTTGGCCTGCAGATCTTCATTGGTACAGCAGATGAGCGCATCCTCAAGCCGCACGCCTTTTATCAAGTGCACCGCATCACTGGGAAGACGGTTACCACCACCAGTTATGAGAAGGTTATCCACGGCACCAAAGTCCTTGAGATCCCACTGGAGCCAAAGAACAACATGAAAGCAATGTGAGAATACAATCATTTGATTTCTGAATATTTTCCACTCAAACTCCTTTTTCTTTGTCTGTTTTTCTTACAAATATATGCCTTTCTTGCAGAATCGACTGTGCAGGGATCCTGAAGCTCAGGAACGCCGACATCGAGCTGAGGAAGGGCGAGACGGACGTCGGTCGGAAAAACACGCGTGTTCGTCTTGTGTTTCGTGTGCACATACCTCAACCCGGAGGACAGCACGTCTCTCTCCAAGTGGCCTCGCATCCCATCGAGTGCTGTAAGCAGCGTCACATTAAACACTTTAAATATATGCTTTTTTAACCTGATCTTTAATAAAATAGTTGAATACAGTGAAGGCTTTATGGATTCCCTATGTATGCTTCCTGCTGATGTTTTTATCAGTTAACAAAACTTTATAAACATCATAAAAAAAGGAACCTGAACTCAAATGAGTCCGGAGTCCTGCACACAGAGATGTCTTTATGAAATCATGGCTTCTATCCAATTGGTGGGCGCTGCATGTTTCTGTGTGTGCGCTGTAGTAAAGTGTGTGTTTGGGTACATCAGTGCGTGTGTACACAGTGTTATTAAAGCACCTGGTGTAATCAAATCTCAAACAAGAAGGTCCTTTTATCTCGCCTTGACTAACACCCTAGTCAAGGCGAGATAGCTTGGGTGCAATATGCTCGTGTCATTGTAAAAAATCATGACGCATATGATATCATTTTAGAATTGGCGTTTCCCATCTGTTTCCCGATCACAGAAAAAGGACAGAACAATGGTAATAACCTGTTGAGATGAACACTGTCACGTGTAGAGTTTATACAGTGACACATCTGTCAGGCCTGATGAGGGTGTCTGTGTTGTCTCCGCTCGTGGTGCAGTAAGGCCAGAAAATCCCGTTCAAAGGTCACAGGGTTGTTTGTCGACACCTCAGCTCGCCTCAGTGAGTGTGGAGTTTCAGCTGAACTAATGGGTGATAATAACATGAGAGAGTAACACTGACATTAACCCCTCAACATACCCGTTCCTTGAAATAGAAAATAAATAGTTGTGTGCATCGTTTTATGCACATTTCACAAAAAATCATACATATTTGGCATCTTCAGACACTTCCCTTGAGAATGTACAAAATGTAACTGCATAGCACGACTTTACTTAATATCTTTCAGCATTTTAATCTTCACTACAGTAGGAAGTATTTGTTGCCGAATTGGGTTATCAGATTGCATCAGACTGTTAGTTGTTCCTGTTATTTAGCTGTGCAGCACTTCACTGTAAACCAAAGCGGCCTCCAGTGTAACCTCTCCTAAATTGTGATTGGATAGAAAGTGATTGCTGTGATCTTTGAATGACTGAGCAGCAGCTTTTTATTGTAAAACTAAATGACACTTCTTGTTAAAACCTTTATTTTTCTCCTGTTACATCAAATACAGAGCTTTCAAAAGAGATGTTGCATGTTTTTTTTCACGGTAGTTTAGGGCGAGTCATCTTTAGACTGCTTTTAAAGATTTACAGTCATCGATTGATAGTTCTGTCTCAGAAAAGTCAAAGATATTCTGTTTTTAATGATTAAAAGTAAGGGATATACTCACATTGGATTGGTTTTTCTGAGGGTTTTTCACTATTTTTATATAAAGAATTGCTGAAACAATGAATGAAATCAAATAGTTTCCAATTATTCTTCTGTCAATTCATTACTTTACTGTGGTTGAGTAGAGAATAGCAGCAATTCTCCCATTTGATGAATTAAACTGATGATTTTCTGCATCCTTTTCACTATTTTTGCTTTAAAAACGTGTCTGAAACAATAAATGAAATCAAATTGTTGCCAATTGTCTAATTCAAGATGCAAGATTCAAAGGTTTTATTGTCATATTCACAAAGCTACAGTGTAGCAATGAAATTATTCTGACCTGAGCTCCTCCAACAATGCAACATATATAATAAAATACAAAAATACAAAATAAAAAGTAGTGCAAAAAGTCTATATACATGTCAATAGAATATGGGATATATACAAGAACAGAATATGAAATTAATTCATTTCTGTATGCAGTTTAATGCTAGTTAAGGTGCTTAATGGTCTCTTTATGCGAGTGTGTGTGACAGCAGATAGTCAGTAAATGTAACCCCCACCCCTCCCCCTCTGTGTCCCTGTAGCCCAGCGCTCGGCTCATGAGCTTCCCATGGTGGAGAAGCAGGACCTGGACAGCTGCTCCGTGCTCGGAGGCCAGCAGATGATCCTGACCGGGCAGAACTTCAGCTCCGATTCCAAGGTCATCTTCTTGGAGAAAACCCAGGGTGAGTGCCATCAAATCCCATCATCGCATTTTCCCACGGGAGATAGTCATTTCCCATTCTCAAATAACGGATTTTAATTGTTCTTTTGGTAACAATAAAGACATACGTTGCCGGGAAATCTATGACTGAGTCTATAAAACCTTTACGGTCTATGCATCTGTTAGTTCTGCTATTACACAACGCATTGTCACAGTAACACCACAACAGTAAGTGATAACAATGACTCATTGTCACTCTGCGTTCACCTTTTAACCAGTATCATTGTATAGAATGGAGACATATGAGCTTTTTGCATGATTGAAATGATAACACGGCTGCCTCGCTTCCTTTCGCAATTCTTCTTCCTCCCTGAGTGCCGTGATGTCTTATCTCTGCGCAGATGGGGCCTTTTGTCATGTGATTAATAGTTATGTGTCACATGACGTATCGTATGACAATCCTGGTTGACACTGAAATGATTCATTTTTATAAATGGCATTGAAATCCATTTCCTTTGAACTAATATTTGGTTCTGTGGAAGGACAGTTGTGTTAACATACTTAAATGACTCACTGACTCCACTGCTGTCTGAGAGCTTAGTTTTCTCCTGTTGTCCTTGGTTAAAATGACACGTTCCCAAATGTTTTTATATCGGTATAAAGTTTTATTTTATGTTAGTGCCAATATACTTTTATACTACATTTTTCCATGAGAAAAGAAATATGATCATTCTCAATAGGTTTTGGGTTTTATTCAAATGTATAGCATCTGTTGTCTACTGGGGTCAATTTTGTAAAATCAACCAACATTTCTTCCTTTTCTAACTCAGAGATTTAGCATACATGAAATCTATTGACCATACATTTAAAAAAGAAGAGTAAAACTTGTGGTTATAAGTAAGAAAAAAGTTGCCTTAAAAGGTGTAACATAGATTTGGGGGATAATTTATACATTTTATGCTTTGTAAAAAGGGAGGAAACACAGGGGTTAAAGCAGGCGCTCCACAGGCTACCCCAGCCTCTTTTCTCCGAGGGTTCCCTGGCCCTGCGTTACGACACTCCACAGTAATGGATAGTACGACAGAGACGGAAAAATAGATCTTACGAGCAGGGATTGCCATTGTTTTGGAGGGTTTCTGTATGACACAAAGCTCTGGAGCAGTGCAGCTGTGAAATCCCTCTGGATGAGAGACAGCTGCCTCTGGCCGGAGCTCCTCTGGCTGATGTGCTCCGACAGGGAGGGTTTTTTTACGGAGAGAAGGAAACCTTCTTCCGCCAAATCGAGACTGCTCGGGCTTTCTCTCCTTTCCACCTCCAGGGAAAACCAGAATCGGGGTATCCCTGAGAGTAGACTTTCAACAAAACAAACACAAACGCCAAGAAAGCAAGAGTCATCACACTTTGTAAGACGTGGAGAGAGTTGATCATAAAAAATAAAGTTTAGGAAAAAACGTTGGCAAGATGTTTGGAATCCCCCCTTTCTCCTGCTGACTCACATACGCCATGTGTTTTTAATTTGACACAGGGCTTCCCACCTACGCTAACATTCAGACAGAACTCCCTGCAGCACATGTCGTGTCATGTGTCAGGGCATATGGAGTTTATATTTAACGGGACATTAGCCTTTCTACTTTTCTACCTAAATGGCAGCTCTAATGTCATCTGAAGAGGTTTACTGTAACAATACATTAACTATAATCGTTAAAGAGCAGAAGCAGAGCAAAGCCTGCACTTCTCATCACGTCCCTGCTAGTGTTACGTTCCTGTCAGCGCTGCAGTGGAGAGCACACGGGTGTGAATAAAGTTGTGTTTTGGCTACACCTGCAGAGCATCTCCACCTTTTCGTGTACTTAATGGTGTCAGAAAAATTAAAGGGGCCCTATTGTGCTCACTTTCAGGTTCATTTTTGTATGTAGTGTCTCTACTGTGACATGTCTCCATGCTTTAATGTTCAAAAAGGTCTTTTCTTTCCTCATACTGCCTGTGCTGCAGCACCTCTCTTCACCCTCTGTCTGAAACCAGAGCCCAGTCTCTCTCTCACACACACACACACACACACACACACACACACACACACACACACGCACACACACACACTCACACTCACACTCACACTGACACTGACACTCACACTCACACACACTCATTCTGCGTGCAGACCTATATCAAATAGTAGCATATCAACCTGTATTCCTTATCAAACAGGACTTCCACCATATCACACATCCTGGCACAGATGATAGAGAATGGCTTAATGTTTTAAAAAAAACAACCACTTGATGACAAGAAAATTACATAAGCCTACCGCCTGCGAAACAATATATTACATCATATCGCTGTATACTTGCGTATCTACTTACGTGAGCCTACCATAGGTGATGAAAACATATTACACCTTATCGCTGTGAATGAACAAACTGTTCTCAAGATTGTACATGTTTTCAAAAAACCAAAGTGTTCTCATTAATAACATCTCCTTGTGCATGCTATTCGAAAGAACAATTTTAACAATTTATACCTTTGAAAACGGATGGGTACATGGATGCTTAAGTGACACATATGACCATCTGGTACATCTTGAAACATTCAACCTTACATATACTCTTTTCTCTCTTCTCTTCTTTCTAGACGGACAGCAAATCTGGGAAATGGAAGCAACAGTAGACAAAGACAAGAGCCAGCCCGTATGTATTAGAAACGTGATATGTTGAATAATTGCATAATACCTGTAAAACAGACCAGTTGTCATGCTTGATTCAAATTATAGGTCAGTTTCAGGCTATAACAGAGCATTGTCTTGTCTTGCAGAGTATGCTGTTTGTGGAGGTGCCGTCCTACCAGGACTCCTCTGTCTGCCATCCTGTCAAAGTCAACTTTTACGTCATCAATGGCAAGAGGAAGCGCAGTCAGCCTCAGCACTTCGCTTACACACCACTGGCATGTAAGAATGCTGCTCAGCCTCTTTGTGGCGTATACCAGGGTTGGGAGGGTTAATTAAAAAATGTATCCTGTTACAATTACTAGCTTTCTATGAAAATGTAACCTAATCTAAGTATCACCATATAAAAGTAACCACATTCCCTCTGTTGCTTTTTCCAATAACCCAAATATCAATATATAATTTCTATTTCTATTCTATATTATTTGTATTACTTGCACTATTTTAACTATTTTGTCTGTTTTATTATGTTGCACCGTTGGAGGAGCCTGTGACCTAAGATCTTCATTGACATATCTACACTGTAGCTATGTACAAATGACAATGAAAGCCTTGAATCTTGAATATCAAATACAATGCTTTCTACTTCCTCACAGCTCCTTCCATCAAGACGGAGCCCCTGGATGAGTATGAAGCGGACCACATGGGTTTTGCCATGCCTCAGATCCTGGGTCTATCCCCTCATTCCTACTACCACACCCCCCGCAGCGCGCTCCACCCGGACAGCGGCCTGGTCTCCAGCCTGGCCTCCTGCCAGCGCCTCAGCTCCAGCCTCCCCACCCAGGACGCTCGCTTCCAGCAGCAGAGCCCGGCCATCGTGTTCTCCCGCGGGGGGAAGAGTGTGAGTGGCAGCCCCAGCCTCTACCAGCAGAGCGGGGGGATGCTGCCGGACCCCCACCGCTCGGTGCTGGTCCACACGGGCTCCTCTGTGGGGCCCATCAGTGTTGGCCAGCCCTCCATCATCCAGTTCTCCCCCACCAACCACCAGGTGCTTCGGGGAGGAGACCCTGATCCACAGGAGATCATCTACTGCGACGGCTACTCCCCACAAGCAGCAGCAACCGCACACTCCCCCACTCCCCCCCAGGTGCCCCAGCCTCAGCATTACTCCACCGTGATCCAGCAGCAGCCATTGGTGCAGAAAGGGCAGCAGAAAGGAAGAGATCCACCCGGCACGGGGCAGATGGACGCTGACGGGCAGCGGAGGGTGACGGTGAAAGAGGAGAACCTGGACCAGGCCTACCTAGATGATGGTGAGTGTAAGTTCATGCTTTTATACTCTGTGCGAGTGGTGTGGTGTGTGTGTGTGTGTGTGTGTGTGTGTTTATGAGAGGTGGAAGAAGTACTTGAGTAAAAGTAGAAGTACCAGAGTGTAAGAATACTCTGTTACAAGTAAAAGTCCTGCATTCAAAATGTTACTGTGAAAGTACAAAAGTATAAGCATCAAAAGACACTTAAAGTACCAAAAGTAGAAGTACTTATTATGCAGATTGGCCAATTACAGAATAATGTAAATGATATGTTTTGGTTGTAATTATTGATGCATTAGAGTGTTATTAAAGCTGGGAAAGGTGCAGCTTAAGCATCATTCAACTAAATCTGCAAAGTAAATAAAGGTATTCAATAAAGTTAGTGGAGTAAATATACATAATGTACCTCTGAATGCAGTGGGGTAGAAGTACAAAGTAGCAATTGAAGTAAAGTACAAGTACCTCAACATTTTACTTAAGAAGTGTGATTACTTTACACCTCTGGTCTTTATCAGTGAAGGCAGACAAGTGATGGATCTGCTCAGTTCCTTTTTTGACGCGCCATCAGAGATTTGACGATTCCTAAGAACAATTCAAGGATATTTACAATAAGATCTGCGTGCTATAGTATCCCTCTGAACAAAGCAAAAAGAAAAAGGCCCCGTACTGTTAAAACAATCCTCCCTAGGAGGTGTAATTATGTTCCACTCAAGGTGGAAATAACAGGGATTATGAGTCATGTGTTTATACTTACTCTTGTCAACCCCATTACCCTCTGACAGAATTAATGTCAGGCCACATCCAGCAGGAGGTTGGACGTCTTCCTCACTTTGGAGTTAAAGGTTCTCCAAACTGTATTGTTTTACAGTAAAATCACTGTGTGTGGTCAGGTGAGGTAAATGCAGGTTGAGGTTGTCATCGCGTTGCTCCGTTCAGCAGCGTTCACTCTGTCGGTCGCAGGGGTTCGTCTGGCAGCTCCACACATCAGGAAATTAGCTTTTTTCTTTCTCGCATTAAAGACAGAGCAAGGGGAGAAGAAAAATGTCGCTCTCCTGACCGCCTGGACATGTTGACACTGTTATGAAGTTAAAAAACAACCTCCATGGCAACCATTGTCAAACAGTGGAACGGGCTGCCTGGGAGAGCTGGGGAAAGCCTCTTTGTTTGTTATAGTTGGCCCGGGGCTTCTCCTTGGCCTTACGCCCCTCGATTTAGTGAGGGGAACCCACCAGAGGATTAGATTTTTTTCCGACCACTGGATTCTGCCAATCTGGCACTAGAAATTCCTATTTGCAGCTGCTCCCCTTCAGAAATCAGATCTGATCCCTGTAAGATTGTGTGTGTGTGTGTGTGTGTGTGTGTGTGTGTGTGTGTGTGTGTGTGTGTGTGTGTGTGTGTGTGTGTGTGTGTGGTGTGTGTGTGTGTGTGTGTGTGTGTGTGTGTGTGTGTGTGTGTGTGTGTGTGTGTGTGTGTGTGTGTGTGTGTGTGTGTGTGTGTGTGTGTGTGTGTGTGTGTGTGTGTGTGTGTGTGTGTGGTGTGTGTGTGTGTGTGTGTGTGTGTGTTGTGTGTGTTGTGTGTGTGTGTGTGTTGTGTAGTGTGTATTGTGTTTGTGTGTAGTGTGTGTGTGTGTGTGTGTGTGTAGTGTGTGTGTGTGTGTGTGTGTGTGTGTGTATTGTGTGTGTGTGTTGTGTGTGTGTGTGTGTGTGTGTGTGTGTGTGTGTGTGTGTCCCCACCAGTCAGAGGAACAGGCAAACTGGGCCTCCTGTTTGATCCTCCCACCATCAAAAGTTGATGACGGCCAGTCTGCTTCCCAGAGTGCCTCTGCATCTTTTTTCAATTTCAGATTTTATTTTAAATAGCACATTACCCTCTCTCTGGAAATCTCATAAAAATCATATTGCAGAATTAGCAGTTACTTCGCATTAATTGCCTTTTTTATCCAAGAACTGCAGGCGATTTTATTATCTTAAGCTACAATATGATGATTGCCACATCTATAATTCCATATTTGTAATTTCTAATGCATGAAAGGGGCCCTATTATACATATTTTCAGGTTCATAGTTGTACTTTGTGCCACTTCTTTGACATTTTCCATGCTTTGATGTTCAAAAAGCTCTTTATTTCACCTCTTTTCGCCCTCTGTCTGAAACCAGAGCCCAGTCTGCTCTGATTGGTTAAATGGCCGGCTCTGTTGTGATTGGTCAACCGCTTAGAGATGTCCCGCCCCTTAGCAAATCACATACAATTGGTTCCAGCCCCTGTTTATTCTCTTAAAGGTGATAATCCGCCCACCCACATCATGGTAGCATGTCATTAACGAGGAAAAAGTCGGGACTTCCCGATATTCAAAACATTTTATAAAACAAATGGTGAGAAGATAAGAGGTGTCAAAAAAATCCCCTCCGTGTTTGCCTGCAAAGGTGTCGAAATATGATCCTGACCACAAAATAATCATTCAAGTTGGGAGCATCAAACAGTTTTTCACCAAAGTGAGATGTCAACATTACTCATCGAGACATGTGTTTCAGTGTGTAGTCATTTTAGACAGAAGGGGGATGCCACATCCTGGTATCGTCACAGTGTTGTGGTCGATAACTGTCACATCTGAACATGCCTTAAGTGTGTCAACTTGAGTGAAGAGTGTTAAATGAAAGTCAGGTATTTTCATTTTGGTGCCAAGACTCCCACACAAACAGTGTATATCATCATGCCTCACACAAATTCCCATGCCTCATGTTGGTGAGAAATAAATTCAACTATCTATATATCAAACTTAAAAAAAGATACCTGTATGAGCCTGCCTTACCGTTAGACTACAACGGTCTAGAATGTCTCACAGATTTCACTGCATGCCACATCGTTTGTGAAAACAGTAAAAGAGCCACTGGACTAGTCTACAAAGGCAGAGAGTGACATATTTAGTGGGTCTGGAATAAAGCCCGGAGGCAGTGGAGCAGGTGAAATTGTTCCAGCAGGTAGAGATCAGTGCAGGAGAGATAAAGCACACAGCAACAGCCTGCTGGCCACGCATTAGTCTCAGCTCACTTACAACCCATTTGAAAGGCTTGATCAAATACTCTTTGCCGTATCCAGACGGTGCTACAACCGAGTGATGAGCGCACGACGACTGCTTTGTTGTCGTTTCATTTACAGTGTACGAGTAATTCAAGTTTTGTATTGATCAGCCTCTTAAAAATATTCTAAAGCATTTTTCTAAAGCCTGTCCAAGTGTAGGATTCATCAGTATCTGTGATTGTTCCCTCACTCCATACTGTGAAGTGATCTTCTTTCAAATGCAATTTCACTATAGGACAAGGAGGTCAAAGTCCATTCTTCATTTACAACTAAACAGACAGTCTGCAGCCACACTACAGGCTCTGTGATGTTGCACTTAGCCACAGCGGTGCTTTGAGCTAATGCTTACATGCTGATAATATTCACCATACCTTGTTCACCTTCTCTGTTTAGCATGTTAGCAAGCACACATGAGTTAATTAGCACAAAACAGAGAATACAGTTAAGATAGATGGGAATATCCTTAGTTTTAAACCAAAGTATTAGATACATTGAAATGTTGACCTGTACTGTAGATGGTGGCACTAAAAGGAAATCGCCAGTTGATCACAAGAATTCATCCTGAGAAAAACATTAATGTCTTCCAAGACTTCAGTAAAAAGAAAACTGAAATGTCAACCTCAAGGCTAGATAGAAGACATTTCAGAGTCTTATTTAGGTCATTCAAATGAATCGTCTGTGGACCATGAAAATCTGTACAAAATGTCATGGCAATTATTTTTATAATAATTTAGATATGTTATGTAATGAACCAGGTAACCAACCAACCAAGACATTGCCATCCCCAAAGCCATGATGCTAGCATGAGTAGCGAAACATTTATTCAAAAGCTCATTTGAAGTAGTCTAGGTAAATAAAATATTTCAAGCACATTTTCTCTGTGGAAAATGATCTCTTTGTGTTTCCCTACTCAGTGTTGCTAATCTACGTGAGTTCATTTTGTTAGAAAACATGGTCAAATTATAAATACCTAGTTTACTGAGACTGATTTGAATGTGAGAATAAGTGTATACACATAGAGGCTGAAATGTTCATTGAAATCATATAAGAAAGGATTGGTGAAAAATAGGAACAACAATGGCAACCAATAACTTTTGCACTGTACAAAGGAGTGTGTGTAAGCATTGTTCGAAGGCAGACAATGAAAGATGTGAGCGCTGACACACCGGATTTGTGGTTAAGTTGTTGGTTAGCTTTCAGTCCACTCACTCTACTTTCTCTTTCCTCTCTATGGTTTTCAGCTTCACGCTGTCGTTACGATCCCTCATCAGACATGAATGTACTTTACACCCTTCTACACACAAAAGCTGTTTGTACTCTGTATTAACATGCAAATGCTTGCAGACAGACAAACACACACATTGAAGGTCGCGGCAGGCAGTGTGCAGAGAGTCAGCTACTGTACAGGGTGTCTCTCCTCTCACAGTCGGTAAACAGTGCAGCTCATTGGTGCAGAACTCAGGAGCCAGACACTCACCTATTGAACAGACCGAGTGTTCCCCGGCCTCAAATAGCCGCTCCGTGCCAACCCTTCATTAGATTCAGTAAAGCCCCAGTGTATGTTGCCCCAGTGCGGCGCTCATGCTGCTTCTCTAAGCTTGTTTTATGCTCAGGAAAAATTCTGTGGCACCGTTGGGGATATGAACGTTTCTTTAAGGCATTAGGTGTCAGAGGGAATTCCACTACAGACTAAAATAAACACGGACGCTGATGTTGTGACGACAGCATAGCACCCAGTTTGGCTGCTCCCGCAGTTTTGCAAACCCTCAGATGCTGCTCCGGCTATAAACTGTGCTCAGTGTGTTGAGCTGCTGTAACGGGTTGTTTCTCTTTCACATCTGCAAATAATCAGATAGGAAAAAAAAAATTGGTTTGTTGGCTCGAAAAGGATATCTGTTTCATCGCTTAGTTAGATTTCACAACACTTCACTGCAGTTGCGGCTGCTACTTCATCTCTTCAGTCATAAATAATATGTTCCATCCATTGATTTCTTTGCTTTTATTTACACATCCAAGCTGCTAGTCTTTAAAACATTTTTGCGGCTAACTGTTCCCCCCAATCTATCATCTGTTCAGAGAGATGGTGTGTGGGGGAGATTGTGTCTGATATCGTTTTACATGGGTTTTAATAGTCGCACCCTTTGCCTTAGCTACTATGTAAATCAACGCTTTTAATAGAACTAACACAAGCCCTTACTGTCTAAAGTTATGCTAGCTCTAGAATAAAAATGTTCCAAGTTAGCATTTAGCAACATTCAGTTGTGTGTACTACTGTTCTCTGGCTCATCTTATTATCTTAGTATTTTCTCATCTTTCATCCTGTTGAGTTGTAGGGAATGGTTTGACTTATTAACCCCCTTACTAACAGATGAGAATATCAATACCAATATCTTTTAATTGATTATGAGGCTACAACCGATTAGCAGCCAATTAGCTTTGCTAAGCTTAGCAATACTGGAACCTGAAAAAGAGCATAGTTGACCATACAAAGGCTAATCAAATGTATATCCCAGCACTTCATAAGCTAACTTATCGAGACATTATTTCTTATTTGTCTTTTTATTTTTTTTAATGAGTAGAGTTAGTCGGTTTGCCACAATTTCTAGTCTTAAAGGGCCCATGTCATGCTTTTCCGGTTATTACCCGTCCCCTTGTGTGTTATGAAGGTTTTTATGCATGTAAACGGTGTGCAGAGTCACAAACCCTCAAAGTACACCCTGTAGCGAGTAAAACTCTAACACAGAAAATACCTCCCCAAAACGCCTCGTTGGAGATACGTCATTGTCCATTTGATTCTTCCATTTCGTTCCGGGTACGGCATGGTGTCAAGCCGTACCCGGAACGAAATGGACCAATCCGTGGAGCCGTTACGTTACATCCGCGGAGCCGTTACGTTAAGCCCCCGCTTATTGGTCCAAATTGACCAATCCACGGACTTCCTCACACACACATCTGTGTGCAGGGAGCAGGCAGCTCAGCTGATTTCTCCTCCCTGGCTGCAGGCTGATAACAGACAGTTGGGATCGCGGCGAAATTCTCTCTGCAGACCCATTCTCACAGCGTTTATCAACCTTTTTCTTACTCAATATCAAGCCACACTTATTGTTTTTACTTCGGCTGTGACTTTGTGTGTGCTCAGGATGAGTTTGGCTGTGTTTCGCTATGTATCCTAAACAAACGGAGCTCAGCGCGATTCACAACGTCCCGACCAATCAGAGCACACTGTGCTCACAGGGAGGGTGGGGGCTGGAGCTATTGGAGCTACAACGAGCCGTTAAAGGCAGAGAGTGAAATTCAGTGAATACACGTAGTTTACAGAGATGCTGTATGAGAAACCAATGTGAGTTTGGAAAATTGCACAATATAAGTATATTCTAGTAGACCTCAACAATGGAATTATGATCAGTGGAAATGGCCATGACATGGGCCCTTTAATGCGACACTGAGCTAACTGGCTGCTAGCTTTAGCTTCATATTAAGCTTACTGAGAGTTGTAATCTTCTCATTTGATCCTGGCAAATAAGTGTAACAGGAACAACATGATTTTATAAAGAATGACACAACAAAATCATGGCAAAATGTTTAGACTAATAACTTTTTTTACAAATAGCTCAAGTACTAGCTGAATGACCAATGCTGATTTTCACATATTAACATGTTTTTACAATACTATTTTAAGTTGAATAACCCTATTCAACCAAAGTTGTTTTTTAGCTTGTTGTAACCATGGTTATAATATCACAGACAAAAATGCTCCGTAATTTCTTGGTTACAGTCAAAAAGTTATTTTGGCCCACTTTGAAATACCTATATTACTCATCGACCCTAATGAGTTCCCCGAGGCAGAGTGGACACACACTATAATGTCTGAGAGCGCCAGTGTACACACAGCAGGCTCCCAGGCTCAGATGAACCCAGCAGCTACACACACACTGAATATCTGCAGAGGTGACATGTCACACATACCTGCCATTATTTTTTAACCTAATGCAGAACTACTCGTGGGACTTTTTAAAAAACAGAGGTGAGCAAACACAGGTAGTAACACTTCCTCTTCATGTTACCGCTTAGATATCAGGGGTCATTTCCGCACATACACAGCAAAGCTTTAAATAGTAACATGGTGGCAAAGATTGAGAATGTCAATACTGTAATGTAATATTTGATCTTTTATTGAATTGCATTCGACAGGCTTCACGCCCCCCTTTGCACATAGTGAATCTATTTTTAGAACCATGACAGCGAAAGTTTCCATTTCAACCCCCTTCCTCTTCTATTGGTGTATACACACACACTTTAATCATCCCAGCAACAGGGAGGAACGGCCCTTACATACAGTAGTTCCACCTCTAGTGGTTACTCAACATTATTGCAGCATTTATCTGCCTTCCATCAATGCCTTGCAGAAAGATGTCAATGGAACCAAAATGCTTCTCTGTCAATCGAATTTCAGGATCAATTTAACTTTGTGTTTTTATTAACAATAATTTGAAATGTTATTGTGAATCAATTGTATTGATCCTGTCATTGTCTAACATGTCTCTTTTTGTTTGCTTTACAGTGAATGAGATCATAAGAAAGGATCTGACGGGCGTTCAGGCGAGAGGGCAGACATAGAGGCAGGAAGTGACAACACTCCCCCCCCCTCCTCGACACACACACACACGGTCTTCAACCTTCCAGTGAGGTGACGCACATCCACAAACAATCAGACCTTCTCTTCCTCCTTTTCTGTACCCATAGAGATACAAATATCAGCTGCTGTGTTTGCTTTGGATTTTTTTATTTTCCTGCAATAAACAGTTTCATTTGGCAAGAATTTATTTTGACTCACAACGTCTGCCACCCAGCAGGTTTCCAGCAAACCGATGAAAAACAACAGGCGAACTACTTCATATTTTATTTAATTTTACAGAGAAATAAAGAGACAACATGTGGGGAATTAAATGTCTCCCCTTAATTGCCTTAGCCATTCTGTCCAGGCAATAAACACCTGATTGCCTCCTACATGTTGGCCTGATACTAGTGAATGACTCTCATGTAGCAGCTGTTATACATTTGTAGTAAACTAGTTGGTAAACAGCTTCAATTCATACCAAAAACGATATAACAAATCACTTTTGCTAAAAAAACCTTTTCATTCTTCTTGCACAAAGTGTGTATTTAATCTGTGTGTAACTCAATATGCAGTTTTACATGGAAACATTGTCCAAAGCTTACATGCTGATCATCTCATTTTAAGTGCAGTTTTCTAATGGAAGTGAAGCGCACACTGCCTTAACCATAAACAAATGAAATATTGTGACACCTCCTAGTATGCACTGTTTTTAAAAACAGGGGGTCAATGTTATAACTTTTTTATATAATATTTGTGAATAATGTGCCAATTTATATGCGTAAAATATATATTGCATTATATTCAGGTTATAATGCCAAAGTGGCTTCACAGGGGCCTGTCATGCTACAGCAATAGCTTGTAGCATAACTTTTTGTAATGGTTTATATGCTTTAGTTCATTAGTTTTCAGTCTTGCATAGACATTGATTTTAAAAGCTGGCTAATGCAAGCTAAAGTGAGCAACTTTATTGTGTCTATTTGTATTGCTCATCAGTTGAAAGCAAGATATCCCAAAGCTTATACTGAGTGTATTGTTTTGTGTATAGTTGAAATTTGAGTCTACCCATAATGACAGTTGCTGTATTCAGAAGCTTTAATCTTGCCAATGTAAAGAGCTTTCATATTTTCTGTAATCGTCATTATACTTTATACACACTGTACTCACAGGAGGGAAGCGGTGTGTATAAATCATGGGCTAATACAGCTTGGTTTGATTTAAAATAAAAGTGTATTTTAATAGAATATTTTTCTAAGATTTCACTGAGTGAATTGGAGTACATTGAAAGTGCCAAGTGCAATTTTTTTTTATTGTAAAAAAATGTTGAAAATGAAGTAAAGCATATACAAATGTAATTTTAAAAAGAAGTTAAATTGTAGGACTGAATCTAATTTTTTTAAATATTTGATATGGACCTATTCGATAGAAAAATAAAATGAGAATTTATTTTGTAATATTATTAAAGCTTATATTGATCTATTCATGATATTTCTTATTGAGCCAGTGCATTTGACATTTCTTGAATGTAATCTATATTAAATCCCCTTTTCTGTAAATATGACATACAAATTGTGTTGCCTTAAAGTTTCAGTAGACGCAAATAGAAGTAAATTGTTGTCTTTCAAGTATTTTCCATGTTTTTCTGTTAATAACATACACAATGTTGTCGTTATCATCATATGGTTTGTCTGTTCTATTACAATGTAAAAGGTTTTCCCTAAAACTTTCACTTTAATAGTTTTTATTTTTCTTTAGTCATTTGTTATTATAATTGTATAGTCTTTAGAGAAATCATTGTTAATGATAACTTTTTTTAATACCGTTTTATTTGATGTGTTCATAGTTGTCATGTATTGGTTTCATTTTGAGTCTACTGGACTTCGTGCCTTCTTAAAAAATCTCTGTTTTATGCTATTTTTGTATCCGTAAAAAGTAGCAATAAATAATAACCATATACATCACGATTGTCCTTGTTTCAATGGGGCCCCAAGGAAGAAATGTGTGGGAGAGAAAACTCCCTCTTTTAGCCTTTGCAGACCATTTACATGCACAGAAACCATTATAACACACTACAGGAAAGGGAAAACCCCAAAAAGCATAATAGGTCCCCTTTTTTTATTTATCTTTCCCCAGCATTGACTCTCATGAATGCATGAATATTTAACATGCATTCAGGTCCTGAGCCCAGAACATTAGACGATTTCAGATAATAGAGAGTGTGTGTGCAGCTCAGAGGTGTCTCTTCACTCTCTATGCTCATGAGAGGAACATTGAAATATAGCAGACCCACAGTAGACACTGACTCATCACAAGCTTCTGAGCAGACAGACTAAGGGAAAAATCAACATGTTTCTTTATAATTTATATAATTTGACATAAAAAAAATGAACTTAAAAGTTTAAATTGGTTACATTATGTGCTATTTACATAAACACACATATCCGTGTACAGTAGGCACACAGTTTCAAACTGCCCATTCCTTCCCTTTAATAACAAACAACAACTAAAAGGGGACTCTCATGCCCGGAGGCTGCAGTTGCCATGGAGACGGCTTGTTTGGGATGAGGTCTCTGTGAATGAACCCTGTGTTCAGGAAGTCTCTTGTATGACATCACCACGGGCTAAAACTCAGCACGTGGGTCTTCTCAAAGCCCCCCCCCCCCCCCCCCCCCCCACAGATCTGCAGCGGTGACTCACGCGCCCTTTAGCTCCAGATGCTGTAATGAGTTCGGAGCGAATACTGCTTTATGTGTGAAATCCAACAAGAATGAAATACATGATGAGCTTGGCATTTCATTCATCTCGCTTTTGTGTTATTTAGTAAAAAAAAAAAAAAAAGGGGGTCTGAGCTCATCGGGACACAAAGGGCATGAAGCTGAACAGGCCAACATCACTGTCAACTGTTGATTACATCTTAGGCCCAGACACACCAAACTGACACCAAAGAACACGTCCCGACGGAACACGACTGTTGTGTCGCCTCACGTCTCCTGCGTCTTGGCCAACAGTCGCACTGGAACACACCGCAAAGACTTCAGCCGACGCCGACGGCCAAGTAGCACGTACGAACTGCGCATGCGTGAGTGGCAATAACTCTCCTTACCAGCAGGCGAATGAAGGTTTAACATAATGTCTAACATTGGTTGTATTTCCTAGTACCCAGTTTTATTAATCCTAATACACATTTGCTTTAAATGTAATATACACATGTCTACATATTGCACACATTTAGTTCACATTCCTACGTATGCATTAATATTTTATTCATTTTTGTTTTATTTTATTGCACTTATTGTTACTTATTTAAATGTGAATTAATTTGTATCTTCCTCTTTTTTGTATAATCTTATTTTACTTTAATCTAAAATGAAGCAACTATCACAGAACCGAAATTGACCCCACCGGGATTAATGAAGTATCTGGATTCAGATTTTAAATCGAAATTGAACAAAGCACATTTACTGTACTGAAGTAGGCTACTGTAAAAAATGATGTAGTTGTACTTTACTTGAGTATCTTATTTTTACTGCAGTACATGTTGTAGGCAAACACTTTTCCCTCCATTTATTTTACAGCAAGAGTTACTGGCTACTTCGGATTATATTTAGATTATTAAACAAAAAATAAATCAACCATTAAACACAATTTGTTATTATAGTTTAAGCTACCCATCACTGTGTATAGTCATCTAAACCTAACCCCACCAGCTGCAACACATTAATGCATCAATAAATATAACAGTATTATTCTGAAATGGGCCATACTGCATAATGAGTACTTTTACTTGTGGTACTTTAAGTATGTTTTGTACCTGAGTATTTTTAAACTTGAGTTGTGTTACTTTCACCTCAGTAAGAACTCATTTCACCTCTGATTTGCCAGCCATTTCCCCCAAACCATGCCTTTTGATACAGTGTTAAAAAACGAATGAAGTATTTTTATTTTAAATGTCAGGGTTAGCTTCAGAGCGGCAGTATAACGGGCTGTTTGTGAGGAATAAAGATGACATTGTCCGTGTGCAGACACTTCCACATCATTTTCTCAGAGACGTGAGTCAGTTTCCTTCAGTCAGCTTCAGGTGAGTAAATTCCCCTCTGGTCGCTAAAGTAGGAAGTTTTATTGAGGTGGAGGGAATTTACATCAAAACATTATCCAAATAAAGGCAAGGATAAAAATGTGATGAATGATGTTGTTGTTAATCTAATGTGTTCATGTGCTCATTGGGCAACAAGCTTCTTAATTATTTAGTGGTTAAGTTTAACGTTATTTGACCCGTGAGAAACACTCAGGGGGGAAATGCAGGATGCAGTTTGATTCGTTTTCCATATGACCTGAATGATGAAAATCCAGACATGTAGGAAACGCTGTAAGTAGGCTACAACAAAATGACCGTGCCTATCCTCTGCTTAAGTAAAAGTACTAATACCATAGTCTAAATGTACTTCATTACAAGTATAAATAATAATTTCAAATTGTTTCTTAAGTAAAAATGAACAGAAGTATTCTCAGCTAAAAGCAAATTAAAGTACTCATTGTGCATAATGGCTATTATAAAAGTGTATTACTATGGCATATTATATCAAGGCAGCCATGTCTCTATGTTTTCTTTGGTTCTGTCCATTTGTGTTTCGCGTGTCGCGCGCGCTCACGGCTTGAACGAGAATTAGAACTTCACTGAATCACAACATGAAGAGGGGTAACCCCAACAAAAAGCCTTCTGGGGCGCATTGGAAAAGGGGAAGAAAGAGAGAGGAGGAAACCAGGAAAACAGAGGTATGTCTGATGACTGTTTGTGTTTATTGGCATTTTTCAAGCAAAGGTTTAAAGCTAGCTAGCTAACGTTAGCTAATGATAGCAGCTGATAGTATGATAGAAGCTGGCAGATGAGCTGCTTTACCATCTACTGTAGCTAGATAGCTCTTTTTACACAAATTGCACTGTGTGGTTTTTCTTGTATTCATTATATATATTTATTATTATTAAAGCTATCTATTTTGTTCCATCTGTAGCTTACAAATGGTAATGGACACAAAATAAGTCTGCTAAATCATTAACTAGCTAGGTTATCACTTCAAAACAATTATTTTGCATATCTGGGCACAGGAAATTATGTCAGCTAGTCTGAACTGCTCAGTATTATTGCAGATAGATACCTACTACATTATTCTCTGTGTAATTTCCAGGTGCATTGTTAAAATATCTGGGTAATCCCACTCCCACCACTGCACAACCTGAGTCTACTGCATCACTGCCTGTAGCAGGTGAGTTCAGTCAAGTTTTTTGTGATATTGCCTGTTGAGTTTATTAGGGTGGTGGGTAGTTCATACACACGTTCACACCTGGAAGCTTCCCAGCACAGTACCACCATTTTCTAGTTTATTATTGCACATTACAATAGCACTTCTACTGTATTACTAATAATGTACATGTTAATGTAACACGCACGCACGCACGCACGCACACACGCACGCACGCACGCGCTACTATATATACTATAGGACAGTAAACCAAAAATATCGTTTAAAACTGGAGAGATAAAAAAATATGAATACTTGTTGTACCCCCTAGTAATTGTGTGCTCAAAGTGCACCAGATTGAAGCATTTTACTTTAAAATGTTCAAACATTTCTTCCCGGGGGGGGCATACCCCCGGACCCCCCTAGAGGATGTGACGTCCATCCCCCAATTCAAACATGTTCATACAATACTGAATACATTTGAAGCCTTTTTGATGTATATTACCTATGTCAATACACTGTTTTTGTAGTGTATTCGTCTTTTGTAGAGATTTTTTATTTATTCTTTATATATTCTATAGGGGGGGGGGGGCGCCAGCTAAAATCTCGCCTAGGGCTGCAAATTGTCTAGAGCCGGCCCTGAGGCAGATGATATTGCATCCGGGTTAACTGTTTAAAAATTAGAATCTAATTAATGTACAGTCTATATTGCAACTTACACACACTTTTACTCAGTTTGTATCATTAGAAAATGCATGTATGTTTTGTTAAATGTCGTAATCCATCAATATGGAGCATTTTCTTTTTGAAAGTGTATTTATAGTTAATATATTAAACCAACATTATTTATGTAAAAAGTAACAGCAAGTGAAATAAATGTAGTGGATTAGTAGAGTAGCAGAAAATGGAGATACTGTACTCCAGTAAAGTACAAGTACCCCAAAATGATACTTGAGTACATTTTCTCAGTTATATTCCACCACTGCTCATACCCTGTGCTACAGTGACAGCTAGTGTAACAAGAGGAAAGTAAAAGTCAGACGTGCGCTCTGCTGACTTCCTGCAGGGGGAGACAGGGACGTGGAAATGTGATTTAAAAAAACTAAAAGCTCTTCAACCGCACTCAGTGAATCAAGAGACATTATAACTGAGGTACATTATCAAACAGAAGTGCGCCTCTCTCAGTGGAGGAATGGGAATACTTCAGCGCTGTGTATTTTTAACACTGAACTAGACAAATCAGTCCCTTAAGAATTGCAAATTGAATGTTATTTAGTGAGTATTACAAAAGCGTCTTTGACTAAACAGCTGCATGCCTTATTTAGCTTTTCTTAGGATGTTTTGCATGAACTATAATCCTATTTAACCGTGTCACGAGTTGCAGATTTTCAACACATAGTCAGTCTGTTGTAGTCAGACCCAGTCAGTGCAGCTTGTGCATATATTAAATCCAATTGTAAAAAAAAGTCTGAATTTCCTCAGTAGAATGACTTCTTTTGGATCAGGAAGCAGCAGGGGAGTTAAATAAAGGAGCAGACAAAGATGCAAATACAGATTTGACAAACATTGTAGAGCCTCTTTATATTCAGCTGCCGGTGCTCAGTCGTTTGTATGTTATGAAAGCCACATTTGCATTTTTCTGGACCAAATGTGATTTTTAGTTAGTTAGTCATGCACAAGAAACTCAGTGAATAGTGTTTTGTTTACCTATATTTCAATGTCAAAGA